CCCATGTACAAATTGTTCATGTTAAAGAAAGGGCCGTAGCACGAGGACTGGAGTGAGGAGAGGTAAAGGCACGTGCTACATGTCTCAGCCATATTCACGAGGATCCACCGGGACGAGGACATTTGCACCAATCAGTCACAGAGGACTACGCAAGCTATCACTGTCATAATTAACAAGCTCAGTTCTATGGATGGATCTCTTCAATTACTCTGCTAATAGCAATGGCTTTATACCTTCAGCATACATTCATTCACATAAAAATGTTTGTGTTTGTGGTTGTTTACAATGAGAGCTGCCTGAGCTTTCACCAAATGAGGCCCTTCCTGCAGTCAATTAGAGTACATTAGGCCCCGTTTATCTTCAAGCATGTGCAAAGACAACTGCATTACAAAGAAATACAGCAAGAGTAAGAACTGAGTTGAATCAATGTTTATTGAGCTGCCTACCTTACAAACCAGTTCCTTATAGTCAATCTTGTGGATGGAAAATATGTCAAACAATTAGACCTATTAATGTCCAATAGACTCAGATCAGATCAGGGAGCGATGCTATGTGCGGCAATGATATCTTATAAAAGTGTGAGAATATAGCAGCTCTTAGGAGGGTCATGGTTTAGCCTCTGTTTCTTGATTATTTCCCCTATAATGATGACACACTGATGAACTAGTCAGATTTGGGGGCTTTGCTTGACCTGCACAGTCAGGGCAAATCTCAAAAGGCTGACACATCGCCACGTCTTATGGTGTGCAAAACTATCACGCTATTTTCCCCCGAACCCTGGATTCGGAAATTATTAGTATAAGTCCTTTCACCCTAATAATGCCTTGGCTAATCCTACGTCAGATAGGTGCCATCAAAGGCCAAGTCTGGCGCTATTGTGTATATAAGAGTGCATGTGCGAGCTCTTTTATAGCACTACTTAACCGATGACTCATTCCGCTCCTTTGTAATCGATGCTAGACCACATAATGGCACAACTTAAAACAGCTGCCTACACTGGCGGCTCCCCCAGCGCCCTGGTGGGAAGAGCTTTTCTCAGACCTACACAATGAAAGAAGGGGCAGACAAAGAGTGTATGTGCCCTGCTACTCTACCACTCTGCCCCGGTTCAATCAGACATCATAAAGTCATGCTGTCAGGGTGCAGACTGAAAGCAAGGAGGTTGACTTAAAGCAATGGATTTCCCAGGAGCTGAAGATGATACTACAACTAATTATTGTGTATTTGAGACCAGTCGTTAGGGTTCGAAGAAATACAACAGTGGAGAAGTATGGAATTGCTAAATAAAAATGTGAAATAGAATAGAGTTACCCGGTTCGACAGTCTCCAGGGCATGGAACACCTTGCAGTATAAAAGCATTTGGATTTTCACAGGTTAAATGAAATAGTGTTTGAATAGAAAAATCAATCAATCTGAAACTATGATACCAAGAATATACAGTTGCCTGACTCCAAGCTAGTGATTCAGAAGACAAGCAAAAAAACAAAACAAATAGCAAGTCAGACACTGCACTTTTACAGACCTGCTTTCAAAAAGAAAAAGTAAGTGCTTATGATAAATCTTCTTGCGTCTTCCTTATGCAATGAAACACCTCAGCATCAGCGTCACAGCGGTAGTTTCCTCAGCTGCAGGCTGCACATTTGTCATCGGCAAGAAAAGTTATCGTTCAGTCACTGTGAGAGGTGCACACAGGGGAGAGGTCTGACATTCTGAGTGAACCTGGACAAACAGCAGATCAGATTCATCTCTGTATGGTACGACATGGATCTATTCTACTGCTGGAGTCAGCGCCTGTCCTTGGATGGCCTGATCACAGAAGAGGCAACATTCATCCACCAGGTGGTGAGGCAAAGCACAGGGAAATTGTGAGCTTATAGTGATTTCAGACGTATTTGGAAAAGTCACGTTGCCAAAGGGCAGAGAGGGAGGCCAATATTCAGCCATGTTTAGGAGTAGAATAGAGAACTATTCTGTATAAGGACATGCAGATGATAATAATAAAAATAATAATATGTTTGTTTGTACACACAGGGTTGTCAAAAGTATAAAAAAGGATTGAGTAATAATAAAAAGTATCTAAACTAGATACTCATTTGAGCTTGTTTTGACACTAAAAATAATTTCAAAGTGTGACGATTCTTAATACATTTTAAGCTCTATCAGAGTAATTAAAAATTCTGTTTATTGTCCAATATGATTATTTATACATTTGCTGTAGTATTTTCTAGTACCAAAATCAAGTTTGAAATATAGTATTGTGAGAAGACTAACAGAACTTTTCATAAACATACTTGCAACCCCAACACACAAATTTACAGAAGACCAACAATAAACTAAAAATACAATAACAAAAAGAGATAACAAGATAACTTGATTTTTATCTTTATATAAAAATGAAGATGGAAAGAATATGAAGATGCCAGATAGCTGAATGAAACAGAGCCTTGTTTCTTAATGACAGATTTTCTCAGATCTGAGGAGCTTTGCAATGGCCGTTATCTCGTTCAGGAGGATAGGAAGTACGGACAGGAAGTCTATAGGGAGGGGGAGCACAGTCTCATGAGCAGAGTAAACAGTGTCGCTTTTTAATCATCCCAGCTCATGTTCAGAGATGGACACACTTTGAAGTTCTCCCAGGGCTCCCCTCCACCCTCGTTACCCTTCATCCCTATGCCCCTCACTCCAGCTCACAGAGGCTGCCTCAGAGCTCAGGGAGAGGGAGGAGGGACCCGAGCCGACCTACAGGGACCCATGCAGCAAGGCCCAAGAATGTCAAGTGGTTGTAATGGTCTCTCTCGGTTGTCTTCATCATCAATTATGTTTTTGTGGGAACTCTAAATCCGTGCAACTACAAAGAAAGTCAAGTACTGCAGAAGAATGTACAGTCACCTTCCTAATTCGGCACAAGCAGTTCAAAAGCTAATGAAATGCTCTCAACCGGAGCAATCCCCCAAGGTTTAGTAGAAGCCAAGTCAAAATTCTTGACCACTTGTGTATTTGTCAAGAATATTATGTTTTAAGTCATTTTAGTTGCCTGATCTCAACTTCAGCATTTCCAACATATTTTTTTACAAACATGTCTCTAAAACAAAGGACTGCTGCATATCAAACTATGAAGTCGCCAAAATAACAAATTTTAAAACATTTCTTCAGTAAATTATTGAGATTAACAATAAAATTGAAACTACTTTATGCCACTGATGAGAGGACAATACTCCCAGTATATAAATTGTATAATAATAAAGGACAACACATTTTGATGCATATTTCATTTAAAATGATGCACTATGAAAATAATCAGGTAAATTAACTAATCTTTAGTCATCTTGAACCCATACACAGCTAAAACCTCAACATTTTGCAAAACAATGATAGAATATTGAGGCCTAATATACATGGTTTTATCCATCAGTTATTGAACGATGAGTCAATCTAGTAATTATCATGACAGGCCTTGTCGTCATGCCATTTTCAGGTCCTTAAGAAAAGACAAAGGGGATGGGGATGAGAGATCTTCTTCCAAGTAATTGTTTAGAACTGTTAAAATAGTAAAAGGTTTAAAACTATTATAGTGACTTTTTATAGCGAAATGTGATCCAAAGGTTGTGTGTGCGCTGACTGAAGAGAGCAAGGCTTTCATTCTAGACTATGAAGACATAAACCTAAAGTGGAGCAGCCTGTAGCGTTGAGGAGGACCTGTCCAAACAGGCCTACGCTGCAACAAAGGGCATCCTGTGGCAACTCTGCACTATCTGTGGTAGAAGCTGGGAACACAATAACAGCAGTGTGTTGACTACATGCTCTCATCAATCATCTGCCAACGGGATGCAGCACCACCAACACATGCAGATCATTCATTCACCGATAACATATAGTACATGTATGTGTTTGTAAAATGTAGCCTCTAATAATATCATGTAAATACTGTTTTGAGCAAAGTGCAGCTTCTCATTCAGCATCCCCAACACATGGTGAGTGATGGAGAAAGCAAATACATCTATGACAAGGGGAGTCCTAATCCACGTTTGAATCCTAAATATGCACAGTGAATAGAACACGTAAATCACAAATACAGACTGAAGGCAGCACATTTTTCACAAAAGAAAATACTTACTCATATCACAAGTTTTCTTAAGCGTGCACAGCATTTGCTTGTTTGACCATTTAAACCAAACTTTGATGTGCTGATGTTGAAAGAGCCTTGAATACTTCAAATACTTTGGAGCAAACCTATGTTTTTCATCAGAGTACACAGTAACTGCATGGCTAAGAAAAGGCTAAGCGTCATCACTATTGTTTAAAGAATTTGGATATTCTGCCATCACATGCAGCTAGAAGTGTGTTGTCTTCTCTAACCCAGAGGCAAACAACGTTACACTGAGACTAAGTTCAGTTTAGCACTTGCTGTAATCTTACAAAAGCGTTTATTTAAAGGAACTCCCAAAGAAGATGAAGCATTGAAGTGAACTGTGATGTGAACTGCTGCTGAAGTATGTACACATGGAACAACAGCAGAGGACAGCATGCACTGAATGCTTATGTTAGTACAGCTAAGTGCAAGGTGCATCATTTGACACGTGGTTAGGCTGCATGAGCAATGCCACATATTTGTTAACTTAATTTGTTCTCTTTTTAAAGCCCCATTTTAATAATCATTTTGAAGCAAATACTTTTATTCTGCTTTTTTTTTTAATGATCACATATAGATGTATCTTATTGCCTTTTGTTTTATATGTATTTTGCTGTGTGTTTTTTTGTAACTGCTCTTGTGAAGCACTTTGAATTACCTTGTACAAGAATTGTGCTATGTTCAAAATTGTGTCAATGTGGATGATCAACTGATTTAAGGGGTCTTGATATGAACTATTGTACTTAGATTGTACTTAGACCTAGAGGTGTTGTCACCACTTTACCAAAGTAGAATGCCAAGTCGTTGCAGTTTAAATGTCAGATTCCTAAAAGCAGCCATCAGGTGCATAAAGATAGCGCTGACTCTCACCTGCATTAACTTGCCCTCCGCCGAGCCCGCACTCGCTCCTACAAACAGACCCTCCAGGATGATGGGCTTGCCAGTGGGCACCTGCTGGAGTAGGGTCACCTTGATGAGCGCTCGTAGAAGCGTTCGCTCGGACTCTGGTTGGCCCAGACCAGGCTGACCCAGCACCACATGCAGGCCCGCCATGAGCAGCCACGGCCAGAGCCCGGCCAGGCGCCGCGGGAGGACGCTCATGGCCCGGCCAGCAGGAGCGCCACTGGCCGCCAGCACATGGTGGACTGAAGCACAAGAGCACCACGGATGGACGGGAAAATGTGAACCAAGACCCACTGATTGACAGGCGACGATCCACAAGAAACAAATCCACACGTAGTGCTTTACGCCAAATAGCTAGAGTTTACATTTCCAGGGTGCAGTGAGAAAAAGCAGCCACTTGATTCACACGGTGGCTCTGAAACGTGTCTTATAATAAACTTGTCTCCAGTGTAAGAGTGCAGTGTACTTCCCAGTGGAAACAGGCTGCATACAGCCTTCCGTGCGCTGCCTCCAAAGCCCTGTTTTACACAGTGACTCCAGCTTCAATGTCAATGTAGACTTTAGTGTTGACCTCGTCCTGCACGGTCCTCAGCGTTTGTCCCCAGCTCCTCTCCACATTAGCTTTTGGAAGCAAGATAATGAAGTGACACAGCTTCTAAAGAAGGCATGTCCGGGACAAACACAACATACGAGAGTAATCCACAAAAACAAGGAGAAGCGAAGACTTGAACTTCAAAGACTGCTTCACAAGTTGCCGCCTCGGCGTCAGAAGGCATACTGACAGATAACGCAACGTGCCAGCGTTGCCTAATGTTTTTACAGCTTTGAACAAGAAGCCCTTTAGGAATAGCTGAAATCGTGCAATATTAGTCTCCCTAATGATTAAGCACATCAGATGAATATAGCCTTAACGTAGTCTATAACTAGGTAATGACTAGTGTAGTGTAAAAACTCGTGCCCGACATGTTCACTTGTTTCCTCGGGTTGCTGAGGTTTGCGTCCCTGGTGCACTCAAACAAGTGGGATACAATCCTCAGAGAACACGGGAGTGCAAAACTTCTCAAAGTCAGCCGCGAATTGACAAAAGTTCCAGACTTGAATACAAGTTCCAAATGTGAGTGGTGCTTCCATGTAGAGCTGCCAAACGCGGCAACAGCAGTGAGTGCAGGTCTCCCTTCTCTCCTTCTCTTCTTCTCTCCTTCTCTCCTTCTGTCCTTCTCTTCTTCTCTTCTCCCCCAGGACCGTGCGCCTCTGGGATTGTATGGACTGTACCTGCAGTGGCGCGCAGGCTTCAGGGGCCCTGGAAGAGGCACTCTCACAGTGAGGAAGAGCCCTCTCACTCGGGCCTTTTTACGCACCCGATCATGGGTTGATCATGGACTGGACTTTATTTAGTCTATAGATACTTTGGTAAACCCAATTTAATGTTTTAACCGTACACCAATACAACGTGCAGATATTCTCACTGCACCTAAATGCAGCACGTGGGAAAGGGGCGGAGCGGCCACGGAGCTCAAGCATGGATCTATGAGCTCAAGGGACAAAGTTCTATAATAATATTATTACAGTAAACAGCGCCCTCCTCTGGGACTTTTGAAGTAGTTTGATGTACAATAAGTTACCAATTTGAGTTAGTTGATCAGATAAATACATCCAATAACACTTGCTAATTTTTATTTTTACATGGAGCTCTGTGAATGAAATTCCACATTAACCTAAACTTTCAGCGGAATATGTTGCACTGGCAAAACCTTTGAAAATGAAGTAAACACAATGGAACATTATATGTAAAAATAGCCAGAAAATATTAGAGAAAGAACAATAATATCCAACAGATGAACCTTACGACCCTCCTAAAACAAACCAAGAAAAGAGAGAAAAAAATTAATAAAATCCTCATGACATTACATGCAGCAGAAGCAGGTCATTGTAAGTGCCTTACCTAGTTTCCCTTTGAAATTGACAAAACCTAATGGGGCTGGCTCCCACTTGAGTTAAGAACTTCAACTTCTTTCTCCTCAACTTTGCAGATATCCACTTTAGTGTCCTATATTACACATCCACACACATAAAATAAAACAAAATTACACAACATAGAATGCAGCACATATTTACTAGTTTACAGTGGCTTGTCCTCAGACGCTCATGCTTACAGGAAGCTGAAGTGCCAACCGTACTGTTTTATTGTTGGGAGCCACCTTCAGGTAATCCTCTTCTGAAGGACTAGAGGGGCACACAGTTTTATTTGGTTGATACAGCCTGACTTCATCAGCCATTTGGAAGACTTTCTCCAGATAAACATGGTCTTTATTTTGTGAGCCACGGCTGTGATCAGCAACTACAAGGTCGAGAGGGGACGGAGCCTGAACAAACAACAACATGTCTAAGATGCACCAATAGATCCAATGCAGAAACAAATACCTGATATTATGTAGTGCTGAACTTGTACACAAAAGTATAAAAGGCTTAATTCGGATAGAACCTACCGTGTAGAAATCCATTGGAAAGGCTCCATTCATACTATTTGGCACAGCCATCAGATGTGGTTGGTAGCACTGAAAAGCTTTCAGGGGAAGTATAAAATAATATTAGGACATATGAAGTTAAAAGTAACCTTTTAGTGAGTTTACAGTTCATTTCTTACAATCATGGTGGTATTGCTCACTTGTAGACTGTATTCCATAAACATTTTGGGAACCATATCTCGGACCCTGTGAGTAGGGGTTCTTTGCACTATAGGCTCCTCCTCTGGTTGTATCACCTCCCTGTGGATGTACCACGGGGCATGGAGTGACTGGGCATCTGGGCATGTGAGGTGTCTCTGGCAGAGCCCTTTTATTTTTGTAAGGGTGAGGAGACGGCCTTTGTCTACAGTGGGAAGATTGCCCTGTAAAACATAGTGTGAACTCTCAGACTTGAACACTTGCCAGAAAAACCCTCAAAATGTCACTTTACTTTACCATTATTAATTTTGGCCTTATACTCTACTGTTAATCTCTGTAGGTTGATCAACTGTGCAGGATTATCGCGCTTAAAGTTTGGGTTGAAGAAGTAATGAAGGTTGTTTGTTCTTTCAGGGGATTTTAATGTGATATCTTCTGTAGCCGATGTAGCTGTTCTTGGTTTCTTGAAGCCATAGAGGTTAAGCTGGCGAATGAAGCTGGAAAACTGTCTTAGTTTGAAAGATTCCGAGTTGTCTTCATTATCATTTTCAAAACTAGGAGACAAGACGACCTTTTCAAAAAGCTGCTGGTTAATAACGATGACGTCGCCAGTGTCGTTCCACCAGATGGCGCTGTTGTCTGGATTGTTAACCATTCGCCACAGTTTGGCTGGGAAATGTCTGGGATTAAGTGTTTCAGGGAGTTTATTGTTAACGTCCGTCATTTTAGCAACAGCAATCTGAAATAAAAATCATAGAAATTACCGTCGACTCTCTCAGGCCTTCACAAGCTAGCGTTCGATATAGCGAGCGCTAGAATATCACATAACGCTATATGTATATACATGTCCATGAATCCGCATGAAGACAAAACAAAGTATTTGTTTTTAAAGTGACTTTTGGTGAAGAACTCACCGTAATTCTTTATCACCCTCCAGGTCCAGATTCTAAACGTTACTTAAGTTAAACGTTCAAACGTTTCATCAGGCTTCTTACCGGTTACCATAGAGACGGGACTGATTTATTTTATTCAACTAGTATTTACCCGATTTTTTACATTTCATTTTGTTTGATGGCATTCATTTACAACACTGTTGAATATCATAGAATAGCATATTTGATGATGATGATAATAATAATAATAATAATAATAATAATATTAATAATACTATGTATTATGATTAGTCGTCTTATTATCCATGATCATTTTAATAATAACAATAACAATTATTTTAACATTAAAATTATCATCAGAAGTATCATTATTCTCTCTGCGAGCCAATCGAAGTATATTTAAAACGCGAATAATAATAAATGGAGCAGGCGCGCGTAGGGTGCCTTTCACTGGGTCCTTTTATGGTCCTTCCACTTCGCTTCCCGAGCCGATCAAAACAAAAAAACAGAAAGTCTGTGTATTTCTACTGAATTTAGTGAAACTATTTGCTGGTGCGATGGCTTTAGAAACGGTTCCCAAAGACCTCCGACACTTGCGGGCCTGTTTACTCTGTTCCTTAGTCAAGGTAAAACGAGAATATTGTATCAAATACTCGATTCGCTTTTTAGCTATGACGCCTAAAGCTAACCACGAAGTCGTAAGCGCACTTTTCCAGTCCATTGCTGTACATAATGGTAATGCTCTGTTTGTGTTCCAGACTATAGACCAATTTGAGTACGATGGTTGTGACAACTGCGAATCTTATCTTCAAATGAAGGGAAACCGAGAGATGGTTTACGAGTGCACCAGTTCATCATTTGACGGGTAAGAAGGGGCTTGAAATACATTATAATAATAATCACAAACTACTTCTATTATATTCCTATCTATCTTTGCCTGTTTAATTTTAGTGTAATTGCCATGATGAGTCCTGAAGATAGCTGGGTAGCCAAATGGCAGAGGATAGGTGAGTAGGAGTCATGTTGCTTGTCAGAAAAACAGATCTTTGTTGCTGTTTTTAATTGACTTCTATTTTACTTTACAAGTTTGCATTATAGTTTTACAAGTATTGTGCTCATTGCTGTAGGTAACTTCAAACCTGGTGTATATGCTGTGTCAGTAACAGGAAGGCTACCACCAGGTAGGGTACTTTTGATTGACTTCATTTGATATCCCCATTATTGCACATTGCACAAGTGCATATAACATCTTCTATATTTCAGGTGTGGTAAGGGAGCTGAAGAGTCGAGGAGTAATCTACAAATCCAGAGAAACAGCAGTGAAGTCATAGAACTCTCTAAAAGTATCAACCTTTACTATTGATTGATGTGATGGAATGCCTATGTATTATGTTTATTTGTACTGTTATCAAAAATAAAATCTGTTTTTTAAAGTTTGCAATAAGTCAATATTAACGGTTGGTTGTCCTGACACAGTGGTACAGCAGAAACATTCTTAGTTAATCTCATTTCTGCATGTAAAGACGAGACTGCTTTAGTTTTTCTACTAAAACATGTACTGTAGCTAAGAATGTGTTGTGTATGGAGGTGTGATATAGTAGTAGCCTACCTCTAGTGTGTGTGGACTAGTGAATTGCTCATACACCAATAGCTCTGTTAAACGCTCTTTGTAAATATGTACAATTAGTTGTTTTTTTTCCCAACCACCAGGTGGAAGCACAACTACGATGTAAAATATACCCCACCCCCTAACCCCGTTAATTTTGTAGTTTTGTGGGTGAGACTTCTTTAAATGTCTCCTTATCACAGGTGCAGGGTCTAGAACCAAAGGCGACCCCATACTCTGTCTTATGCTTTGTAAGCATACGTGGGATCCGTGCTCCCTGGCTCTGCTGGTACTTTGTATCTTCCTACAACGTACCATATGTGCTGCTAAACTCAAACCATTGAGCTCATAAATGAACAGGGGCATAACGTTTGGCAGCTTTTCTAATAACTGTTAAAGTAGCACTTATAGGAGGACTAGATCTCGTTTTAAATTAAGATGAATCCATTAAGGCAGGGCTTAAACTTTTCAAACAAGGACCCACAACATAAAGCACAAACCAGACTCATGACCCTGACTGCATAACGCAATGAAAAATAAACTCATGTTTGACTAGTGCACATACAGTTCTACAATAATTATGAAAAAAAATCATCACCCCCCATTTGAGTCACGCAAGAAAGAATTAGATTTGTATTGTCCTTCCAATCCTTTTCACTGGGTCCATTGAGTAAACTGGCCCATTTAAAATGTATTTCTGTAATTATGAAATCACTAAAAACAGAATTAAAAGTATATACTTTTAATTCTGTTTTTAGTGATTATTTGTGTGAAAACTTTGTGACAATTTTAGTATTCAAACATGGGTATAAACACAAATATGTCGGCCATACAACACAGACGTTATCCATCTGGTTTTCTACATGGATCCAATCATCAATTAAAACAGTGTTCTTTAAAAGTGGTAAGATTAATTTTCCACAGCAATTTCAATGACTCCGAGGATCAACTCCAACTTTCAAACATGTCAGTAGAAATAGGTAAATCACAATACTCTTAAGTTTGAGTGAAAATCATTCACACACAAATCTGAACTCAACTTTGTTTTATTGATTTCAGAGCATGTAGAATATATAATAGTTATATATTATCAAACGGAAGGACTCTGAAAAAAAGAACTATTCACCAAACCAAAAGTAAATTCTACTTTTACACATGGAAAGCTTCTAGCAATGACATTTTTGAACTCATTCTTCCCTACAGAATATCAATTTATAAAGATGAATTATTTATATTAAGTTAAGTTTTGTTGTTGTATTTCTAGAAGAAATAGGCAATAATGTTAAATATTATAGATTGTATTTTGACCAGGGCAGTGATCTTGAAATAAACCTAATTTTTAGATGTTTTTGTGAGTTTTTTGTGTGTAAAATCTGTGCTCAGGGTTCTTAATGACACAAATCTGAATGAGAGCGAGTTGGAAGATTTCTCTTCATTGCTTTTTTGAACCACACTGGACTCAACACGGGGATTTGGCAACTTTTCAGATTTATAAAAGTGAGACCTGCCCAGAGTCTGACAATGTTTAAATACAGGTTTTGATTCTAGCATTATGATCAGTTCATTTCAACACGATCAGTTCAAGAAATGAACACTGGGAAAAGTAAATGTCACAATAAAGCTAATCCTTAAAAGTCTTTCACCTTTTGCAGCTTGTCTAATTTATGAACGTCCATCTACAGAATGTGCTGCATTGAGTTTGAAGAGACGGTAGGAATAATGAACACAAACTTCTGCCTTCTCCTCATGCTCATGGACTAATCATGAACTCCTCTTTTTTAGTCCAAATGGTTAAAAACAAAGAGATGTACTCTTTTTTAATAATTTCTCATACACTTAATTGTAAAGCACATCCATCCATTGTCTTCTGCTTCATACAGTGAAGAATTGTGAGGCAATCAGTCTGAGATATTATAAAAGAGACTAAAATCATGTAAATTGACAGAGCATAAGACTTTTATAAATTTGGACTTTTTAAAAAATAAAATTGTATAAATATTTAGAGATGTGACTTCTGGGCCATTTTCAAATAATTCACCATATCTAGCTCGGTGGTGGGTCAGTCCAATAGAGTCTGCAGATTTGACGTCCTATACCCTGTGGTTTGACTGCTGCTCACACGCGCACTGGGGGCATAGGTCCTGGCAATCAGAAGCTATAGTTACAGAATAAGATCCTTCATTTGTGCCACTGCAGCGAGGAAATGTCCTTGTCATTGTTGCCCACATTACAGCAGAGTAAAAGGAGGAAATAAGAGCACTCAGATTGCACACAACAAACAGGATTTGTCCAAAAGGATGAAGAAAGTGTTAGTAGCGAAACGTCAGACTCCTTACGACACAGATGAGTCTGTGATTTTCAACGCTTTGTGTCGGTCAATATAAACTCCTGGGAGATTAAAACATAGGTGTTTCCTTTTAATTTAATCAAATATTCTGAGATAAACCTGGAGCCCTTTGAACTCCACACTCACAGATATCATATAGTGCAAAAAAAAAAAACAAAAAAATGCAAATAGTGTGGATGTTTCATGAGACTTTTTGTGCAAAATTGAACTCATCATTAAAACAGTCTAAAATTTTCCATGCGATGCTTTGGTTTCTGAAGGTTGAAGCAAACTTCTCTGGGAGCGCCGTAGCAGATTTCAAGAGGAGTTCAATTCGATTCAATGTATTCTTGTATAGCCCTAAATCACAACAATAGTGTGATTTAGGGCTATACAATACAATAACTGAGGGGAGGTACTGTATTTTTTTTATTATTATTGTCTGATGAAAGAATGTGATTGCTGTGAAACAGAGATAAAAGAATGTCTGATACACAATCCCAGACCTATGCATAAATAGTAAGGCCTGCTTTAAGCCACTGACAAATGGACACAAATGAGAACTGGACAATTGGAAACTGGTGGATACAGGCCGCCTCGAAGAAAAAAAAATCACGCCTTGACACAAAAATGAAATGCTGTCTGAAGAAGATTGACGCGGAAAGTTCTGTCATGTTATGTTTGTATTCTATAAGCATTATGACGATGAGTGCAGTTATGTTAAAACTGAGGTAACAACAGAGGCAGAATCAGTACTTTTCCACTTGATGTGTTGGGTCTGAAGGTTGAAGCTGGTGTGTTTTTGTCATGACCTTTCCATCGTTTTCCTCAATGGGCTCCCCCTAAATGGCAGTGACATTTGCTTCGGTTGTGAAAGAGGAACTGTTCATTCTACAGTCAACCCCAGATATCAGAGATACCCTTCTTTATAGTCACCATGGAAAAGGTGCATCACTGAAACTTTATCTTAAGAACTGAACGTATTTGTTCTGGCCCACATTGCTAAACAATCTCAATCTTAAGCATGAGTCATTAATATCTCAAGTGATGACGCCTCTGTTCTTTTGCACATTGATATAAATCATATAAAAATCTGTGCCTTACTTTGTTTATTTCACAGTTTTTTCAGATTGAACCGAGTGTCACAAGTGCCTGAGGTTGCTGCTGCCTGTTTTCATTTCTCACAGGCCAAATCTACAGGGCCTCCACTTCACAAAGACCCCCACCATTTGTTTAACCTCAAAAAAGTTTGAATTTCCCCAACATTACTGGAGGAGATTTCAGATAAAAAGATTGATAGCAAGGGGTTAAAGAAGTTCCATCAGTCAATCACAACTTTGCAGAGGTTTGACTGTCAATTATTCTATATTAACATAGTGTATTTAATGCTTATAATGGTAAATACGTAAAGCTGGGTTTGATTCCTTGAAGAACTGGATTTGAGTCCTTATATATCAGGGATTGAGTCCCCCATTGGAAAAAGAGTTAGAGTCCCAAGTATTCAGGTTCAAGTCCTCAAAGCCTTTAGGTGTAAAATATAAAAACAAAAAATGGAACTAGAAAGTGTGATGATTGTCACCGTAAGGGTTTGAATTGATCAATTCTAGACAAAAGTGTAAACAACAATGTCCGTTAAATGTTTGCAATTACAGCATTTTATACTTGCTCCTAATCATGCTAAAGTCAGGGGGTTTTATAGCTAATTGTTGCTTGAATGCTTCTTCATGCTAAAGTTGTGTCCTTATTATGCTAAAGATAGAGATGTTATACTGCTTCTTTCTAGTTAGAGATTTTATTTTATTTTATTTTAGTATTGAGTTATCACTCATTTATCTTGTGCTGGGTGCTCCTCATTCCAACTGTTCTCTAACTTGTGATGCAACACTGAAATTTGCCCATAGTGGAAAGAATAAGGGATCTCTTAATCTCGTAATCGTCTCTCTAAATTGCACATAAAGTTGAATTTTTGCTTGGACAGCGAGCACACTCAGTAAGCGAGTTGTTTTCTTCATTCCAAGTAGGCTATTTCCGTGTGTGACTGAAACCTAGTTTAGTGTTTTAGAAGTCAGAATGAAACTGCTGCGGCCACAAGCTCCACTCAGGAAGGTGTTAAGCTCCGCCCTCACGAGACCCACGCACAAGTCCCATCTCGCCATCTGTGTGAAAATAAGCGCGCCACTCTTTCACACATCAGTAGACTCTCATCTCATTGGTGCTTGGTGAGGAGTTTTTGCCCTTATTTGGAGATGTCACAAGGGAGCATTTCAAGCAAAAATTGTGACAGTTTTCTATGAATTCAGAAAGCGGGTTATATATTTAAAACTAAAGGCACGCTTGCTCAGCATTGACACTGGATAGGGAAGTCAAACAACATTGGGAGAAGGGGGGTGGACATCACTATGGGTTTTTTAAGAGCAGCGTTTCATAAGCCTGCTGTGACTTCCTCATTGTAGCAGTCCCAAACATTGACAACAGAACTGAAAGCTACAACAGTTGGTGAAAATGTAACATAATGATCGCTCTGGATTAAGCAACTCTCTGTCATGTGGCTCTGGTGTAGGCTCGGGGCAGGCAGGGAGGGGAAATGGCTGCCTCTGTAGATAAGACGGGGTATCACTTAAGACAGGGTGGGATTGCGAAGACCCAAAAGCTTTCGACAGGACCGTGTGTAATTGTCACTGTGTGCTTCTCTTGCTCTGGCACAGTGGTAGGATTGAGCATGGGCAAAGGGGGAGGCTGGGATTAGTCAAACAGGTCATGGGTCAAAAGATTGGAGGGTTGAACCATGTGTTGTAGACGAACACTTTTTTCTTGTTATGTGACTGTTGCTGCTTGCAGTGTTGGATGTATAAGCACTATGTATAAGTACTTTATGGGTTTCATATCTAATGTCTTAAAGAAGAAGAAAAAAAAGCAGGATACACGACTACTCTTTAATGTCATTGACCACAAATGGGGGTTTTCAGCTCATCCGCCGGCTAAACCAAAAGAGAGGTATTAATGTCGGTGTGACGCATTTCTTTTCACCAAAGTCTTAACGAAGGCCAACAAAGTCCTGGGAATGATTTGGCCAGACAGCAGCTAAATTGTGTAATGTCACACTACACTTTTAACCACTCTTGGGAATATATCAAGAGATTATTTGCAAAAACAGAAAGAGGTTTTTTTTTTTAAGCCAGATCTGTATATTTTAGCACCTTACAAATAAGGTTTCACCCCGTCTTGAGCTATTTCTTTCAAATGTGCCTCAATTATAGAAACATTTTTGTGTTTTTTTTACACATAAATTCCTCATTTGTTAGGAATATATTTTTTGTTATAATTCTTGTGTAATAGTTATGTTTCAATTCAGTTCCGGCAATTCCTGAACTCATCTTACACTCAAAAGGATCTTGTGGATCAGAATAAAACTTTTGTCTGTATATCCTGAATATCTTTTGAAATGCACATTATTCTTGTGTACAATATCTTTTGTGCTCTCCACTTGATGTGATTATAATGTTGTAATCTGCAAATCATACCACAGTTCAAGTGTCAGGAAACAGCAGCAGCAGTTGCTTTTGCACCGTTCAGTTAGAATTGAAGATGTAGAAGGCTTCACAGGAAGTGTTGCATTTAGCAAACAGGTGCCTGACTCTCACAACCCTCGCTTCCTGTTACTGGCTGCAGTCTCATCAAATCTGTCCAAAGATCATCAGGTGCAGTGTGCTTTATACGTCAAAGCCCAAGCCACAAAGGATTCAATAATGTTGACTAAAGCAAGGATTGAGGTCATCTATAAATGAAGCGACAGAATCATTTGCAATATACGTTCAGTTTCTCATATTTCTCACTCATCACGTGCTCTACAGGGAACTGAATGTTTATCCTATATATTGACATCTGTGACATCATTTGCATTTCACCAAACATGCAATTGCAATTTATAAATGTACGTTTTCATTACTACAAAGGAATTCGATAAGAAGTCAAAAAGCGGTGTTCCTTCCAAACGTTATGAATATACTATGTTACTGTTGGACACGTTATGACAATAGTATATATGTGGACGTGTCTGCACCGTTTATAAAGATGAAGAGGAATTTTACAGCTTTCAATTGTACATTTAAGTGTAAAGCAGCGGAGAGGCAGAGAAGAAAGAGGGCGGCTATGACTGTTAAAACCTCTTCCTGTGGTTAGATCACGTGCTGATCAAGCCTTCAAAAAGAGACGCCTTCTTCTTCACTCATTTCTTCAACGCACTGAAGACACCTGCAAGTCCAGGACCACGGTCTCTACTGAAGGCACACAAACAGAGCCAGGTAAAGTATCATAGACATTTACAACATTCAGAAGACGTGTAAATACTATTTCAGTTGTTTAGGTTTCAACAATGTCTCTTTGTGAGTTTTGTCTTTCATTTGTATTGAATTTACTTGAAGGCCGCATGTACAACGTGAAAAGAATATGGCGACCAACATGGCTTCCTCAATCGTTTGTTGTAACGGTTTGCTTGTTCAATTGATTTAAGATTTCGGGAAAATAAAAAGTGTTCTAATGATTGTCCGACTTACTCGTGTATGCAAATAATTGTAAACAACAAAAGCAGAAGTGTGCGTTGATGGGAATTTTCGACAGCGGCTCTGGGTGTGGCGGCCGTGGGGCTACAGCCGGCCCGCAAGAAGAAGACCAAGAGAAGAATTGTCGTGGATGTACAGTGCAGTCATCCATAAAGTAGAAAGCACTACTAAACTCCAGGCCACAGTGTAGTGTTTCCTACTTTATGGATGAGTGTACTGTTGGCTGCAGGGACGGAGCGAGGCTGCGCACAGGAAGTGAAGAGGAAGTGGCTTCATCTCTCTGCCGTGCACTGGCCCACCGTGTCACTCTGAGCTCACATGGGACCTGCACGGCGGAGCAGAGCTGGCTTTCACCCGTTTGTGCTGAAATGTATTGTGTAATAAACCTTCAGATGAAATGAATGATTTCTTTAAAAAGCAATGTTTTGTGTAAAAATATACATTTAATTCTGTAAAAAAAGTCATATATGAATAAAGCGACCAAACTTCAAGTCAACGTGTCATCAGTGCAACTTGCTTCGCGGACTCTTCAACATGCAAAAAACATTTAGAAATGATTTACAAAGTATTTACAATAAACATGTGTGTGACAAAAGTAAGATGATACAAAAATAAATAAGTTCATAAATAACAGGTCTTTTCAGTGTTACAGAATAAAACATAGCACGTAGTATGCATCTGGAATTCAGACAATGCAAATCAATTCACCACCGACACACAAACATGTATGAAATAAGGCCAATGAGTCCACACACTTTCTGTAAACATACATACACACAAGACTAAGTAATGTCTCGTTATAAGGCTACTGTTTAAGCTACGTGGGGAACTATCTACATGGACAAATGAGAACTATTATGGTAGAATACTGCAGACTGTGGGAGTTCATATTCACTGAAGGCCAAAAAAAGAACAGTACAATTCATCACTGCTTTTCTTAACAGTGGAATCTATTACCTTTAAATTAAGTTAACATGGTACATTCTGTACTCAACATTTGCAAACATGTTAGTCTATCAAATGAACTTAAGGAGACAAAAATCTTGACAGAAAACAACATTGCACATGTTCTAAACTTTCATGTATTCAAAAAGCACACTGTGTGACATTTCTGGTTGAAGGTCCACCATCTACTTGTTGCTATAAGCTATTTTTTTGCATGTGGTAAATGTAAATTTTTAGTCCCTCAGTCATTTCAGTTCAAAGACGTCTGCGCTGAAGAGCACTATCGTGATAAAAAAACTTTGAAAGTTCTAATATCCAAGAGGTTTAATGATCCATCAAAATGCACAAATGGACCTGTTCTGTCATCAGGTCTGGTCTCGGTCCAGGTCCAGCTTGTGTGGCCCTATTTTCCTCCATGTGTCTCCAGTTACTTCTGTTTCCGTTAGCTCTACCTAGCACTGCAGTGTGCAGCAATGCAAGATAAGAGCAGAGAGCCTTGAGCTGTAGTTCTTAAGTCCATCTGTTTCAGCATTAATGCATCTCTAAAAGGTATTTTCCAGTCAAACCAAAGAAATAGTGGAGCCTTCATTAGAAAAGTGACATAGTGCAATATAATAACCGAGCGTAACCAAGCTGTTTGTTATGCTCGACAGACAAAGCACCTACAAGTTTGGCATAGGCCGCAGTTTTTGGCAGCCTGGTTTGAAGAGTGGCTTGGCATAAGTTAAACCTGAGAAATGACCAAACAGACACATTTACACCACTACACAACACTGCTGGTAGATGCATGTCACTTTTAAATTGCTGATACTCCCACTAACAGTGGAAGCTCAGTGGCATTTGACTCACTATACAACGGAAACTGGAAGTTTACATTATGTAAAAAGTAACACATTAACTCACTCGATCATTCAAAGAAAATGTTGATAAAGCTTAGTCATAGATTCATCTCATGGTCTGTGGTCTCCCAATACTCACAGAAGTTCAGACTGTGGTTTCCCAGTGCGCTGACATGCAGTGCTCACACCAGATTCAGATTCTTAATTAATAGTAAAAATTATTAATAATAATTATAGAAGTTTTGAGAAATAAATGTTAACTCCAATTTTTTGGAGTTAACATGTGCTTCATATCACATTTTGCATTATCTTTTAAGAGTGATAAACAAATCACAGTGCTATACAATCAAATTTATGATCAATCAGATGAAGCTTTTAGGCCCGCTATCTTAACCTAAGTTATAACTATTGGCTCAATGCCAACATATTGAGAGAAGTGATTATCTATAATTTAATTTATAGTAAGTCATACGTTTAATTTCAGGCAGTGAGGGAACACTATTTTACAGTGCATGCAAACCTCCAGTTTCTGCAGGATTTTACATTCTTCATAGAAATTGATATTATGCAGTGGATTATTGCAGCCACAGGTTCAAGACCAGAAGGGAGAGACCCTCCTGTTTGTGTAAACTAATTTAAATATCCGTAAGTAATCTGATATTCCGCACAAGACCAACAGGCATCCTTCACGTCTCTTTTTCAAAAGTCAATTTTGAATGGAACGGGACCCTGATAAAATCAAAATCAAATCAAAGCTATAATTTGTTAATACAATGAATGCAACAACATCTAGATATATAGATCCTTCAGGATAGTGCATGACTGTAACAACCACATGGGAGGACATACAGTATTCTGCTTTTATCCAATAAAGTGGCTTCAGTGTGAGAACAAGGAGCTCTGATGATACATCTCTCTTGATAGTTTAAAATAATGTCTTCTTGATATTATATGTTCACAAGCATCACATGCTCAAAGTCATATCTATCAGCAGCAACGTTGCCAAGACCATTTTGACTGACGGTCACAAACTTAAGACTAATATATTATCATCAAAACCATTATAAGTGCTTTCATGATGTTTGAATTATTATTCTTTCTTAGACCCCAGTTTTTTAAAGAGTCTCTTGCCTTTGGAGAAGAAGCTTTTCTTCTTCTTGGCCTGGGTGGGGCTCTCTGCTTGTAGAGAACAGTCTGGAGCAGGAGTGGCCTCAGTCTCCTCCACAGCAGCAGCAGTACCAGTACCAGCATCAGCACCAGTGCCAGTGCCAGCAGCAGAACCAGTACCAGCAGCAGTACCAGTGCCAGCACCAGCATCAGTACCAGCTGCAGAACCAGTACCAGCAGCAGTACCAGTACCAGTAGCAGCACCAGTACCAGCAGCAGTACCAGTACCAGCAGCAGTGCCAGTACGCGCAGCAGCACCAGTACCAGCATCAGCCCCAAGCACTGGGATCACCTCTGACACAGGCTCTGCTCTGGGGGCCAGCTCGAGGGCCCATGCTGGCTGGGTCACATGTTCTGGACACACCGCTTCCACATCAGGGCAGAGTGTTTCCTCTGGAGCTGGAGACATGTGTTGCTGACAGATGTGGTCAGCCTGAAGAGAGGAGAAGGACTGGATGTTGATAAAACAGGTACACAAAACTAAACTCTGACCTACAGGGACTACTCATTCATGGGGTTGTCTGGGGTGTGGGCAGAAGTGAGGCTGAATGTAGGGTAGAGACACATTGAGGAATATTTGGAAGTTAACCACTCAACTAAACTTGACTTACAATCAGGTCTCAAAGTGCACACTTCGTTTGTGCTTCTGCATGCAGTAAAACCAAACAATGAAAATACAAAATAACAAAACATTGAAAACATGAACCAAAAAGATAATTGTGGAATTCCAAACAGAGTAAAATACCTGGGATTCTCGCCTGGGCTCTGGAGGAGTAGCACTTGATTCCAGTAGGGCCTGCAAATAGTTTGACGGCACTAGGCCCCGCTGTCCGTTCAACTCACCCTGTGTGTGTAAAAACAAAAAGAAGTCAAGATAGAAAGGCAAGGCATGTTTAATTGTATAACAGTTTATACAAATAGGATTTAGGCAAACAAAGAAATACTGTACTCACTAAGAAGAAGCCATCCTCGTCCATGTCTCCGATCACATGGATTATGTCCCCCGCACTGAACGTCAGCTCCGCCTATAGACCGTTAGAACCATGTTAAAACACACAGATAACCCACACAAGAAGCCATTATGTGGAGCTATTTAACTGACCTCAACGTCTGTATTGGGAGAGCTCTCTCTAGGATCATAATCAAAAATGGCCACCATCTTGCGGCCAGGGTTGGGTAAAGGAGCTCCTCCAACTGCACTAACACCTTGATCCTCAGCCACTGGAGCGTTCTTCTTAGTCTCTGTAAAGAAAATGAAACATATTTGTGTCTTCTCATTAGAAAATGTAGCAATTCAACTGTATAAAGTACTGAATGTCTCCTGTTCAAACAGCCTCATGCCATGCTGGGGAAAATAAACCAGAAGATAAAGATAGATTTTTAAAAACATAATTTTAAATGTACAGAAAGCTATTTCTGGTCACTGAAAAGATGAATACAAACATAGAATGAAAAAAAAAACATGGTTAGAATTAGAATTGCAATTTCAAGCACGCACATCCATCTACAAGCTTTGGTGAGCTCTAAGTTGTCAGTATAAATGCAATTGTTGTGAAGGATGTTTTAACATGCAAATAAAGTTAGCTACCACGGACCTTGACTTGTGTCCCCCATTGCAGCAACCTCCACTAAAAAGAAGAAAATTAAGAAACACTTTTTAACTTACATTTTGTCTTAGGCTACATTTTGGGAACATTATGCGTGTCTGATAGTATAGTGAATTTAAATATGTGGGTTGGTGACAGCATATGATGCTAAATGAGAGGAGCTAAAATGAAAGAGGAAAACAGAATTGAGGCTGAAGCAGAGGTGGAAGCCACAAACTGCAGTAAGACACACCTTTCTTGGATCGCCTTGGTTTCGATGGTGGAACAACGCGGCGAAGAAGCTGTGCATGTATGCAAGTGCCTTGATGGACGTTTAAAGGAACACAACAAAAACAAACATAAATACAAAGGTGGACAATGAATACAGCAGTGAAAAGTAGTGACCCCTGAGCAGCAAGCGGCCCTAAAACAGAGTGAAAGGTTAGACATGTATCGAACGTGTGGCCGCGTGATCTCAGCCGTTTGCTCCAGCTCTTCCAGAGTTACCTTTAAGGTTTAAAGTTTAAATTATTGAGGACAATGTGCAGTTGCATTAAAAAGATGACTGCACCAGATTTAGCACCATGCTTCTTTCCACTTTCCATCATTCTAGTGAAGAATATGTACATATCAATAAAACACAACAGTACAGTATACAGACGTCCATCCACCATTCATTTTCAATGCAAACCTGACGCTTTTGAAGTTGAAGTTGAGTCCGGTGTGAACGCCCCTTAAGACAGCACATGAGTCTAGGTGTGACCTCAAGAAGCACAGTACCTTTGTCTATGGATCCCACTGTGGACAGAGCACCCTGCTTCAGGAGGTGTTGCTTGGTCGCCTCATCTTCCACTTGAATTTCAGTCACCATATTACACGGCACCAGCCCAACACGTCCATCACACTCCCCATGGTAGAATCCATCTGCATCTTTATCACCAATCACCTTTGGAAAACATGAAACATGTTAGTATACATTTTGTTAGTAATGTAATAAACAAATTGTACATATGTATTGTATTTGTTAAAATATACAATTACAGTACATATGTACACTATGTTGGCATGTATCTTTCCATTCAAACAACCATTTACAGAAAAATATGGCATCATTTTGTCGATAGTTCGAAATGCGATTAATTACGATTAATTAATTTTTAAAATGTAATTAAGATTAAAAATGTTAATATATATCCAGCGGCGCTTGTCACTACTTCTGTCTTCTGGGGGAATCGCTCCTGAGTTTCACAGAAGTCTGACTTTCAATTTACCCAGAGATACACCCCTATTCCTCATCTCCAACTGCACCTTCAACGGGAACGTCAAGTTTGTACAAATCGGTAGCTAGCCCAGCTGTTACTTGCCTTACCCCGCTAGTGTGGCCAGATCCATGGTGTGGCCACACTGACTGCAAATAAAATGGTTCCCAAAGATTTTTCAGTCACTAAATAAACCTTTTGGCATTCATAAAAGTGGACTGAAGTTTATTTTTTGTGTTCAGTTGACAGATAGCTTATAATAAGCGGGATAATGTACAGAATGCAGGTCATTATTGGAAAATAACTATAAGGTTCTAAGCATTATCCCTTACATATAAACTGTATGTTATAACACACAACTCCCTCTGGAGTGTGTTGTGCTCTAACAATTGTACAAACACAACATTAAATCCAAGTTTTCCACATTTAGCGGCCGACAGTAGCTCAGTTGGTAGAGCATTGGCCTTTGAGCCAGAAGGTCGTGGGTTTGAGCCCACCTCAAGACTTTCACCATTGACTCCCACTGTCTGCTGTCGTTGTGTCCTTGGCAAGACACTTAACCTGTGTGATGCCACAGTGGGGCGGCTGCGGCTGTATAGTGCCAAACTGATGTTGTGTCCTCATTCTGTTCACCCCCATTGCCTAGAACAGGGGTGGCCAACCATTCAGAGACTAAGAGCCAATTTTTTTACTGTATTACAGGAAAGAGCCACATCATACAAATGTGCACTACATAAACATAACCCCAACCCTTACACACGCACGCACACACGCACGCACACACGCACACACATGCAATCTGTCTGAGCAGAGAGAGGTGTGCTCTGCTCAGACAGATGTATTGTAAATGTCATCAACATGATAATGACAGAAATTGACTCGTACAGTACTAAAGGGCTGGACTCGACTCTCCCTGGTTTCCGGGCGCTTCCACCGCTCGCTTTAGCCGCTCCCCGGTACTTTTTATTGATGGTTCGGCCCTGGTTCTAACCGGGCGAGTCGATACCATAACAATCTCACGTCAGCGAACATCAATTATGATTCCGAAATGAATGCTTTCAATCTCTAACCAAGAAAAAAAAAATCGAGTTTCAACCCAGTATTCAGCAGAAACACAACTGTCTTTATCGAACCATGATTCACTCTCTGACTGTATTTAGTAAAAGATATAAATTTGACACATAACACCAACACCACGTTAGCTGATTTAGAACCACAGACACATGCTCAGTATAAGACCAGATACTTTTGCATTTGATTGAAGACAGACACTCACCAGGCAGAGTTGGCTTTTCTCCTGGTGTAATGCTAGCTGTTGTTAGCTGGTTTTAGCATGTTAGCCGGTGTTCGTCGATGTCCGTAAATTTAATCCATTTGGTCAAACCACCTCCAGACTTTTCGGGTCTGCCTCTACTTCTGCTGCTGTGATCTTTCATTTCACGGTTGTCACTTTTAAGCTTTTTAACTTTTCTCTGCGTTGTGATGTTCGTGGGAATCCTTCTGCTCCGTCCTTAGTGCTAGCTCCACAAACACCTTCTGGTTTCTGGTGGAACCATCGAGCTCACGCTGGTGTCCTCTCCTCAAACTGAGGAAGGTGTTGCCCTCATCCAGCGACCAAGGAACTGTTTTCCGTACGGACGCCATGGGTCGAGGCAACGTGTTGTTTGTTATGATATTTGCAACAGCTGAGGCAGCAGCTGCAGAGTGACTGACCAATCAGAATAGACGTTCGCCGACGTCAGATTGTTTTGGTGGCCTGGCTAGTGGAGTGAAGTCGGCCTTTACTATGGGTCAGAACTACATAGAGAATGAATGGCAGCGCCACCACCGAGGCGTTTTTGACGCTTGTCATGTGAAAGCCCAAGAGCCGCACGGAACCAGCCAAAGAGCCGCATGCGGCTCACGAGCCGCGGGTTGGCCACCCCTGGCCTAGAATGAGTCTGGTGTGTGAGTGAATGGTTGGTGGTGGTCGGAGGGGCCCATGGCACATACTGGTTGCCTCGCTTCTGTCAGTGTGCCCCAGGGCAGCTGTGGCTACAGTAGTAGTTTATCACCACCGTGTATGGAGTGAAAGAATAATGACATGTAAAGTGTGTCCAAAAAAGTGCTATATAAAACCAATGCATTATTATAGCATTAAACCCTACAACAGGGGGTCAAGTATCAACAAAATTAATACTTGATTCAATTTCATATTGGGATCTTACTTGGATAATTTGTCCTTCAGTAAAGGGCAGCTCCTCCTCAATGGCACCAGGGTTGGGGGACATAGACGCAGGATCATAAGAAAACAGTGCCACAAAGAGGCGCAGGTTGCATCTCATCTTTGGTGGTTCAACAAAGCCTTCAAACAGAAAAATCCCAGAAGGAACTGTAAGATCCAACATTGTGTGCACAGTGTTATATTCTAGATTTCAACAGGAACATAAGTATAATAAATGCAACCCTACAATGTTTGAGGGGGTATTTTAGGCAACTGCATCCTCAAAAGTATATTCAACGACAACAATGAATGTTATTCTTTTATGTTTTTAAAACAAACTCATGACTCTAAGTGTAGCAATGGGATGTCACCGAGACCATCTCCACAGCCCTCTGCTCTCTTCTGAGGAATCCTGGCCAGCATTAAACGCCTTACAATATTTGAAACTAGTATTTGCAGGAATACAAAAGAAGAACATATCATTTCCAAAGCCTAGAGTTGTCTTGCTAATCAATGTTACTATTTTAATGTCACTTCCTCTTCGTCATGACAAGCCACTTTGTGTTAAGCTGGTTCTCAGCTTAGCAGGAGCTCACCCACTGCTTCACTGCAACTATTGCACCTCCTCCAACTTATCCTCGTTCCCTAACTCAAGGTGCTAATCTGACTACTATCATGTGAGGCAGGGAAGGTTTACTAACAGAGCACACATGCAGTAGAGTGTCCAGATCTAAAAAGGAAAAGGACCTTCTAACCTTTTGGAAGCCTGTTGTGCATTGGTATTGATTTACAAAGTCCTCCTTGATCTTGGTTAATCTCCTGTAACGAAGACAAAGACATGAATAAAAAGTGCGCACAACAGCTGATGCACAGTATGCACATCATTGTTTTGTTAAGTCATAATCATAGAGGGGAGACAGTTTGTAAATAATCTTGGACAACACACCCATTGTTGCTGTCTTGCAGTAACATTTCCCAGTGACGGGGGCCTTGACCCACAGTGGCGACGTGGTTTGCATTGTTGAGCTTCCTCCACCCACCATTCTGAGCTCATCTGCTCCATAACCACCTCTCCACGGCCACACTCCACTGGCTCCTCGGTGTCAGTGCCATAGTCTACATCGATCTCTGCTGCGCGGCTCATTGGAGCTCTCACAGTGTGCACAGACTTGCTGATGGGATTAGGTTTTGTCAGGCCAGAACCATGGGCGACAGTGTTGGTGGAAGATGCAGCCATTTGACTCCTAAGCATAGCCTCCCTCCTAAGGCGGTCCCCTAGCCCTTTGAGCAGCGCTCGGCCCTGGGGGTTTGGCTGGGGAGGACAGCGAGCAGACTGTCCCCTGCTTCTGAGGGTCTGGTACATACTAATGTCCTCTTCTGTGTAGCAGCTGTCAACTGGGTCTGCATAGTGAACGCGGTGCCGTGTTTTTAATCGGACTTGAGGGCCTTCATGTCTAAACAAAGATTCTTTGGTTTGTCCATGGGAACTAGGCTGCTGGTGCTGTGGTGGACCATGTTGCTGTTGCCTGTGGTCTCTTGGGTCTCTGGGCCTGGCTCGTGGTTGTGTGTGGTGTAAAATGGACTTTTCTGAACGACTGCTGTCTTCCTCTGATGCCTCTGGGATACTGGACAGCTGCTTTCCATGGTTAAACTGAGTTGGCAATTTAAGTATCCTTTCTAGAACTTCTTCATCGCTGTCTGGTGTGCCGGGTTGGCAGAACTTGTGTAACAAAATCAACGGTGGCAATGGAAAGGTAGTTCAGTGGAAAGGCAAAATGGATAAAGGCAGCATGCATGAAAGAAAAGAAACATAAAAAAAGAAAAGAACATTAAAAGAAGAAAAAAACAAACAAACACATTTGATGACATGGCGCAATGCATAAGAAGCTCTTATGGCGTGAATAACATGTTAAAAGGATTGTAAAAATGTAAAAAATACTTTTAGTCGGTTTGCAGCAACTTTATATCCCATAGTTTGCGTTTCTTCAAGATGGTCAGTTGAGAGGTCTTCTTCTTCTTCCTCCAAGATGTCTGACAAGTCTGAACGGCTGTTATCTCCATGATAGTCACTGGGTGATAGTTCTACCAGGCCTTTCCCATAAGTCTGAAAAACATGAAAATACAATATTATTTAGGCTTAAGGGATAGGAAATATGATATTATATATGTAATTAAAAGGGTTATTATTTAATACATATACATTTTTAAAAGAATCACAGACGTGGGACGAAGCCCCCTGCCCTCAATCACAAGTTTAATGCACTGAAACTCTTTTGTTTGTAAATTGGAGACTGTGAAGGGGAGACCACTGTGAATACCAGCTGGATCAGAATAATAATCTTTTTTTGCCTTGTCAGTCACAAACTAGGACATTTCTTTGGGAATAAAAATCTATGTAAAATGTCTGAAGTAGGGGCGACAGTAGCTCAGTTGGTAGAGCACTGGTCTTTAGACCTAATGGTCATGGGTTCGAGCCCACCACGACCCATGTCACCTGCTCCCACCGATGTCTGCTGTCGTTGTGTCCCTGGGCAAGACACTTAACCGTACATTGCCTGAAGCCCCCGCTGAAAGACCAAGGCCATGTCTTTGATGATGGAGAAGCCATCGTCCTGTGGACTCAGCACCTGCAGGAGGATGGCAGCTCTGATTGCCACCCCCCCGACCCAGAAAAGGAATAATAAAGGGGATGAAAATGACATGACATGTCTTAGAAATTACTACTATAAACCACAGACTGTATATATTAACGGACAGAGTCACGCCTATCTCCGCCGTTCATAGGAGTTGGCCATGAAAAGTGCTTTCATGGAGCAATCCAAGATGGCCGCGAGTGGTCCCGCCCACAAGAAAGTTGTGAAAAAACGCATCTGTGCATGCGTCAGCCGGCGCAGCTCCATTCATTTGAACGAGAGACTTCAAAAATTCACAGCAAGTAAACTAGAGTGGTCCAAAAAAATTCACCCCCCTCAGCATTGACACACATGTGGAACGGAGCTTTGGACCAAGAGCCAACTTTTGGTCCATCCTGTAAAGACGTTTTTGAGAGGTCTGCCAACGCTATATGTTAGCATTGGCTAATTCTTCTTCTGGGTCCACCCCCATCGGCCCGGGGTGGTATTGCAAGCATGTCAGCGCACGTCATTTTGGACATTTTTGAGCTGGGACCCGCCCCCACTGCAATAAACAGAAGTGCAATAGGTGCACACTATAGACATTTAGCAGTCCAGTAAAGTGACAGTAAAGTGCCCTTTATGACCGTGAAGCTGTAAAGTGCTAAACTGTTATTGTATCCTGAGGCAAGATACTTCACCCACACTTTGTGAACATCAGGTGTGTGAGAATGGTTAATGGTTGTTGCCACCCATGACTCCTTGCCACCTCTCACAACTATAAATTAAGAAAATTAATTATACACAAAACATAGTGACTGCCTTTGCAAAAAATACTTCCCAATAGGAGGTATCTATAAGAGCATCTAGCATTCTAAAACTGCTGTTTGTTCCCGTATTAATTACCATTGCCCTATCACAATCCACAATGACACTCCATAATGTCAGCCACGTACAATTCAAATGCTAAGAGCCTACAACATGTGACATACGTTCAATTATTATTATTTATCTTAACTGTTTAACATAAACAATCATCAAGGCATAAATAATCACAGTACATTAAAAAGATAGATACAATCCTTCAGTTGTATGCACATACAAACAGAACTGTTTTTAACCTGGATTTAAACATTGTCTCACATGTTCAGGAAGACTGTTCCAGATTGTTCCTGAAATACTGCCTCCCCATGTTTAGTTCTGACTCTGGCACTAGCAGGAGACAAATGAAGCTCAAGCGGATGTTCAGACTGAAAGACCGAGTGCCTGCCAGCCTCGAGCCTCAGCCAATCACACAGCTCTGCCAGCCTCGAGCCTCAGCCAATCACACAGCCAGGCCAGCCTCCTGCCAACCCTCTCAGAGCAAAGCGGGCAGTTTAAAAGGCAGCCACTTCCTGACAAACAACGCTTCCTGAGGCTCTTAAACAACCATGGGCATGGTTCTCTGACCGCCGCTGCTGCCGGTCCCTGCTGCTCCTACTAATGCCTGTTCCCTGATGCCTGCTCCCCGTTCCTGCTGCTACTACTGATGCCTGCTCCCCGTTCCTGCTGCTACTACTGATGCCTGTTCCCGCTGCTGCTCCTACTGATGCCTGCTCCCCGTTCCTGCCGCTCCTACTGATGCCTGTTCCCGCTGCTGCCTGTTCCTGCTGCCGCTCCTGCTGCTCCTACCGCTGCCTGTCCCTGCTGCCTGCTCCTGCTGCTCCTACTGATGCCTGTTCCGCTGCCGCTCCTGCTGCTGCCTGTTCCGCTGCCGCTCCTGCTGCAGCCTGTTCTGCTGCCTGCTCCTGCTGCTCCTACTGATGCCTGTTCCGCTGCCGCTCCTGCTGCTGCCTGTTCCTGCTGCCGCTCCTGCTGCTCCTACTGATGCCTGTTCCGCTGCCGCTCCTGCTGCTGCCTGTTCCTGCTGCCGCTCCTGCTGCAGCCTGTTCCTGCTGCCTGCTCCTGCTGCTCCTACTGATGCCTGTTCCCGCTGCTGCCTGTTCCGCTGCCGCTCCTGCTGCTGCCTGTTCCTGCTGCCGCTCCTGCTGCTGCCTGCTCCTGCTGCCGCTCCTGCTGCTGCCTGCTCCTGCTGCTCCTACTACTACACGTGCCGCTGCTGCTGTTCCTGCCGCTGCCGCTCCCAGGCTGCACCTCTCTACGACTCGGCTCTTTCAGACACGTATGTAACCTGGCTCACAGAGACAAGCGGCGCACGCTGGCGTGACATGGTCTGCTTGCCCGTATGAATCGCATTGTGGTTGCGTCGTACGTGCTTGTCCCGGGCCCGTGATTGTCCCGTGCCATCGTTTGTTTGGGGTCTGTTCCTGCTTTGACCCGCTCTGATCTGCTCGTCAGTGCTTATTGGCGCCGCTCCTTAAACACGTCCAGGCTCCGTGTCACTGCTGCTCAAGTCTCCTCCGTGAGACAGTTCAAACTCCAGCGTGCTTGGTGGCATGCAAAATTACATTTTGGAGTCTTCCCTAATCAGTCTCCTTCTAAGGCCCGAATTGTTCGTATTAAGGCTTAATGTATCGGTCTCCGAGGCTTAACGACATATTGCACGTTCAGGGTGAATAGGAATCTGCAGCTCTGGCGCCCTCTCTGATTTGGTTGCTCCCTAGACAAAGGCCTAATGTAATATTGCTCGCTCAGGGTGAAGAGGAATCTGCAGTTTTGACGCCTGTCTGATTTGGACGCTCCCATAAGGTGAAGAAAGTGCGTTTAGCTTCATGGCCCTGTCACGCGCATAATGGCGTATGTGAATGCATGTTGTATAGCAAGGCATGGCAAGTTTATTTGTATAGCACAATTCATACACAAGGCAATTCAAAGTGCTGAACAAAATAAGAAAGCATTAAAATCATAGATATTCACAGAACATTAAAAAGAAGGATAGAAATATATGTTTGACCTTGTCTTAAACATTGTCAGAGAGGAGGCCTGTCTCGCATCTTCAGGAAGATTGTTCCAGATTTTAGCAGTGTGAATCTGAAAGGCAGCCTACCCACGTTAGTTCTGACTCTGGACACTAACAGGTGTCCAGTCCCTGTGCTCCTCAGAGTCCGGGCTGGTTCATATGGGACTAACATGTCTCTACTATATGTTGGTGCGAGGCCATGGAGGGACTCGACTTGTATATGTGCATGCACACGTAGGTACGTAGTATACGTGCGTGCATATATGTTATGTATATGTATATGCGTATGTGTTTTATAGTCTTAAGCTCGCTTCGCTCAGTTCTCATCAGGGCTGTCTCTGCTCTCGTCAAACTTTGCTTAGTTTAATCGTAATTATGATTAGATGCTTTGCAATGAATGATGTGTGTTACCTTCGCTGGTCGTCGGGCTATTCCGTTACAAGACAACCTGTTCCAACTGAGGCCAAGGGAATCTGGGTTCGTAAATACTTATTCGGTGTCGTCCATTCTACTTCAGCGCAGCCAATATAGACGTGTCGTAACCCGTTCTGAGATGTTGTTGTTCCCGGTCGGGCTCGAATCTCCGCTAATCTGTAGCTAGCGAGACGACAGGAGGTCGTCATCAGCCAACTTCAGTTCTTTCATAGTTTGTCCTAAAGTTCGGACCAGTCCAATGCGGTTTCGCCTACGTGTCGGCCCCGGGACTAGTTTGGCGGACTGAAGCGGCCCTCGTACTGAAATCCTCGAGCCCCCTCCGTGTACAGTAAATATTGCTCATAGGGACGCGTTGCCCCAGGTCATTAGCAGTGTGTTTCATTTTATCCTGAGCAGGCTGGCGTCGATTATCAAAAGTAGTTTTATGCTTTGTTCCACCTCCGTGCGGAGTTTTGCATGTTCTCCCCTCGTCCGGCCGGTTTGCTCCGGATCCTCCACGTGCTCTGGCCTTCCCTCACTGCTACCGCGTGCAATTGATCCGCCCTACGCCTCATACGGGCGATCTCTCTCCGATTCTCCGCGTGGAGTCGGGGGGCAGCATCCACAACGGTCACATGCTCTCTGCCGCACTCTCATGGCTCTGAGTCATCGTAACGGTTGCTCGCTCTACTGCTCGTTCTCAGGTGCCGCTCTGTTTGTACTTATTCTGCTCCGTGGCCGCTCTTTGCCGTCGTTCTGAGTTCCTAATTGCATCAAGATAGCTCTCTCCTGTCCAGAAGGAGATTCGGTCGGTTCTTGTTTAATCTCTCCCTTATGTTGCAGGGCGCTCTTGCTGCACGGCCGCGCCTTGCGAATTATTCTCGTAGCAATAGGCCCTGTCATTCCCGCGCGGGGCATGCCCTTCCTACGCGGGGCTCGTCCATCTCAAGCCGGGCAGGCGTCTGGCCGTCACACTGGCCACCCGGCACACGTGATGACACTCATCGAAGGTTTCGTAGATGCTCCCTCAGCTTGGACATGGAGAGAGAGGGGATAGGAGGAGGAGGACCAAGGTCTCTTGGTCCGTCCTGTCCTCTGTCACGTCCCAAACAGGTGCTGCTCTTCCGGCTGGGCCGCCTCATCCTCGCAGTGCACGTCATTCCTCAGGCCGTGGTTCATCCCCAGGCTCCTGCGCGCTCTGCAACCCTGTTTTCCTGTTCGCAGGTGCTGCGCTGACCTCAGCTTCAGCTGCTGCCTGCCGGAACGGCGTCTTTCATGATGGCACCGCCTCTTCCACTTACTTATTTCTTTTTCACGGACGCGGCTCAGTCCGTGGGTTTTTGGGGGTCATATCAAGGCCAGTGGTTAGCTGCACCCTGGCCCCAAGGACTTATTACCCCTATCACTATAATCCCTGCATTCAACACTCCGAAGGAAGGTGCCGTCACACTTTCATTATGCATTATTTTTCCCCTGTCCAGATAAACACCTGATGAAATGCACTCCTCCATGCACGGAGAGGAGATTCAGATGGGCTGCTATTTCTCTCTCTGTCAAATGACGTCATGTTTGCGCAATGTATCCAAGCCCATTTAATAAATCCGGCCGGTCTCCTGTGATCTCCCGATTCTCCAATACCGGCCGCTGGATTAGAATAGCCGCCGCACTCCAGCCTGCTGGGCCTTCCTCACTCTTCCCTACAGCAAATGGGTCAATGGTCCACGGCTTGGTCCTGCCTCATCCTCTATCAGACTAAACACTGACACTATTCTGACTGCTCAGCGCTCCCTCTTCAATCTGAGGTAATTATCAAATACTCTGGTGGTGGCTAAGGCTCTTCTCTCACATAAGCATTCTCAACATCGTTGCACTTCAATCCGGACATGCATATGATCACCTTGTCTTACATCATACATTCATGCTCACCGCAGCGCTCTGTGCAGAGAAGCTTCTCTGCATAACCCCCTACGGCTCACGCTATACACGCACCTCACGAAGCGGCCTGTGCGCGAGAGGCAGCTCCGCACGCCCCAAGGGCCCACGCTTCTACACGCATAGTCATTACAGAGCGTGCGGCCTCGTCACCCCCGCATATTCTCTGTATCATACGCTGACACACGCATGCTCAAATATAGCAGATCTTGTATGAGAAAGCTCTCTACATTGCTGCTCCACATTCTCAACACGCAGAGCCCGCATCAGCTCTGCGATTACACGCATTTACTCTTCACTTCATGCATCCATCACGCACGCATGATCACATAGCCGCTCATTCAGTGAGTGTCTGTTCCCACAGATCCCCTGCGGCCTACGTCATACATGCACCCTCACGAAGCGGTCTGTGCGCGAGAAACCCTCCGCACGCTCCAAGGGCCAACGCTTCACACACGCATAATCATTACAGAGCGTGCGGATTTGTCACCCCCGCATATTCTCTGTACCCTATTCATGCAATTCTGCTTCCAGGCAATGCTGCCTCCATGCAATGCAGCCTCCATGCAATGCAGCCTCCATGCAATTCTGCCTCCATGCAATGCTGCCTCCATGCAATGCTGCCTCTATGCAATGCTGCCTCTATGCAATGCTGCCTCCATGCAATGCTGCCTCCATGCAATCTATGCAATGCTGCAATGCTGCCTCCATGCAATGATGCAATGCTGCCTCTATGCAATGCTGCCTCTATGCAATCCATGCAATGCTGCCTCTATGCAATGCTGCCTCCATGCAATCTATGCAATGCTGCCTCCATGCAATGCTGCAATGCTGCCTCCATGCAATGATGCAATGCTGCCTCTATGCAATGCTGCCTCTATGCAATCCATGCAATGCTGCCTCTATGCAATGCTGCCTCCATGCAATGCTGCCTCTATGCAATCTATGCAATGCTGCCTCTATGCAATCTATGCAATGCTGCAATGCTGCCTCCATGCAATGATGCAATGCTGCCTCTATGCAATGCTGCCTCTATGCAATCCATGCAATGCTGCCTCTATGCAATGCTGCCTCCATGCAATCTATGCAATGCTGCCTCGCTGCAATGCTGCCTCCATGCAATGATGCAATGCTGCCTCTATGCAATGCTGCCTCTATGCAATCCATGCAATGCTGCCTCTATGCAATGCTGCCTCCATGCAATGCTGCCTCTATGCAATCTATGCAATGCTGCCTCCATGCAATGCTGCCTCCATGCAATGCTGCCTCTATGCAATGCTGCCTCCATGCAATCTATGCAATGCTGCCTCTATGCAATGCTGCCTCTATGCAATGCTGCCTCTATGCAATGCTGCCTCTATGCAATCTATGCAATGCTGCCCCGATGCAATGCTGCCCCGATGCAATGCTGCCCCGATGCAAGGCTCCCACGCCTCCAGATAGGCAGCTTCCCACGGGAGGCCTGCGCATTCCCCGGCACACATAGCGTGGCTTCCTCTTTTGGGGGATCTGAGATCATCTCAGCTGCAATCGATCTCATAGCTGCAAGTGTCACTGCCGGGGTCAATGCGCCAAACAAATAAATCATTTTAATGTATTTATCGTGTCTTTGGTCTCTTCAGATTGAAATGAAGCTCAAGCGGATGTTCAGACTGAAAGACCGAGTGCCTGCCAGCCTCGAGCCTCAGCCAATCACACAGCTCTGCCAGCCTCGAGCCTCAGCCAATCACACAGCCAGGCCAGCCTCCTGCCAACCCTCTCAGAGCAAAGCGGGCAGTTTAAAAGGCAGCCACTTCCTGACAAACAACGCTTCCTGAGGCTCTTAAACACCCACCACCTCCCCAGCACCCCCTCTGGCTCTTGGCTCCCGCTCTGGCTCCCGCTCTGGCTCCCGCTCTAGGCTCCCACTCCGGCTCCTGCTCCGCCTACGCCCCATTCACACCATACTCTAGCCACCACCAGTGATTGACCCCGGGGGATCTGAGATCATCTCAGCTGCAATCGATCTCATAGCTGCAAGTGTCACTGCCGGGGTCAATGCGCCAAACAAATAAATCATTTTAATGTATTTATCGTGTCTTTGGTCTCTTCAGATTGAAGTCCCTGTGCTCCTCAGAGTCCGAGTCAGTTGGTTCATTTGGCAATGACTTTGGTGCGAGGCCGTGGAGAGACTTGTACACGAGCAGAGCAGATTTAAAGTCTATTCTCTGAGCCACAGGAAGCCAGTACAGAGTTCAAGACCTGAGAACTGGACTAATGTGGTCATACTTCCTGGTTCTAGGATTGATCCTTGATGCTCTTTTTACAATAACCTCAGCCTGCCCAGAGACTACAAGTAAATCAAGTTGATCAAAGCAAAATGGAAATGTAGTTACTTCTTAGACCTACATTTCCTAATTAGTTTTATTTTCGCTTTCTCAGCTATCCAGAAACCAAATTTAACGCCAATCTGTATTTACCATAGAAATTCTAGGGAAGACATTGCAGTTTTATTTCTTGTTTTATTTGATTGGGAGAGTGCATATTATCATCTCTGGGTCAGAAATGAAAGCAGCCCCTGTGTAAAAGCAGCTGAGGACAAACAAACCACTGGTTCTGGAACACTAAATAAATAGATCAAATTATATACATACATCTCCTCTCAATGTTAACAATGTTTACAATATTGTATCAAATAGAATTGTTAAATGTGTAATGAATATAATATCCCATTACCACAAGCCCTTCTTGGTCCTGTTTAACCTGTCTAACTGGCCACAGCAGGTAGTAAACTGTTCTAACTGTTGGAATCAGAATTTGAAGTGTAATGGAAATAAAAAAAAGGTGCACCAGAGTACCATAGAGAAACAGCCCTAGAGCATAGGTGTAGCAAAAGTTAATAATTTTAGTGACCTTTCTCAAAACTTTACAGAGTATTTTTATTTTTGTATTAGTGGTTTTGTGAATTACACTGCTATTACTGAATTATAACAGTGGTCTTTGATTTGTTGTGCCGCTTTGGTCCTCCAGCCACTCCCGTGTTTTTATTTAATCTTCGTGTGTCCCCTGTCCCACACTAAAAATTCGGGGTTTTCCCGCTGCCTCTTCTCTTTGAAATCCTGTGTCGGGGAAGAGGTCAGTCAATTTATGTATTTTAATTTTGGCATTATTTAGTCTTTGTCTTGTTGACTGATGCAGATGCACATGTTAATAACCTTGTGTGAACAGATAAAAGAACAACTCGAAATCTTGTCTCCCGCGTGTTCCTCCGCACCACAAACAAAACAACACAATGTAGAGCGAAGAAAATCAGACCCGCTACATAGGGTCAAGGGCAGAAAGTGGAAACCATTACAAAGAAGGGAAGTAAGTACTGTAGATCCTATTCTACATTGCAGTATTATAATATTAGGCAACATTAAAATATTCCAAGTATTGAGAATACAGCCTTCTGGATGTAATGTATTGCCGTTTTTGTTATTTTAATTGTATCTTATAGATAAAGTCACTGAGGTATCTCTGATCATGAAATGACATCTGGATCCAATAACTAACCTTCTGCCTTAAGTTGTTTGTGGACTCCGGATCTTGCCTCAAGAATTCTTCTATGGACACCAAGCGTGTGTTTTCATGCTCCTCCTCTACTTCTGAATCCAAAGGCGAGGTGCTGGGAGGACGGAGGAGCCGGGTGTCCTTTGGAAAGAGGTCTATGGGTGTAGCTTTTGATGGGGTGGGAATGGGCTCCAACTTGGCACAGGGGTCCTCAATGAACTCTGTTATGGACGGGAATGGACGTATTAGTCCAGGACTGTCAGTGTCTCTGCTGTGCACTGCTGCTGGCTGGTTGGCTTGTTGTGTAGGCATCGTGGTAATGGCTGAAGTCACGCTAACCTAAAAGACATAATTTAAAATGATTTACTGGATGGATAATCATGTTTTAATAGTTTAAAGGCTCAAATGTATTACCATTGAAGGGATGTTGGAGGCTGCTGGTAATACTGAGTCGCACACAGCCAAGGCAGCAGCTGAGGAGGGGTTGGCCCAGGCCTTCACATATATGGAACAGGGGTCATCTGGAGGAAGTGCATTGGGCTGATTGGCAAAAGGTTCCACCACATGAGTAGTGGCTTGTGTGTTTGGCAGCATTGTGCCGGGCAGCATGGACATGTTGGCAGATGAATTTCCAAAGAAAGCAGGAGATGGAAGCCTACAAGGGGAGCCTGCGATACAGGACGGTGGTGGCACAACAGGAGGAGTGACAGATGGGCCTGTGAGGAGGGCTTCCAGCTTGAAGGGAAGGTTCACAGGCAAAGAATCACATGACTCCCCATGAGCAGACATGGAGCGCACAGTGAGCTCCTGTGCCCCCTGCAGTGAATGAATCTGAGACGGGCCAAGCAGGACACTGCCTGCAGTTGGTGATGACACCTCCAGAACCTGGGGACAGAGACAACATGTAAGTGTAAGTCCATCTGTTACAGCAGCTATAATTTTTGGCTGAGCTTACCTTTCTCTTGTCAACATATACACTGTATCCTGTGACGCGCACGCCATTAGATGATCCAGCTGCATCAATAGTTACTGGCAACCAGCTAATGAGAGCAATGCCAGGAGATGGCCCATGTTCCAGCTGGACATCCAGAGGAGCATCAGGAGGACCTACAAGGATTTAGGTTTAGGGTGGCAACTATTATAACTCAATTCAATGTACTCCTAGGGTTGTATAAAAGAATATGAATAGTCAGTGCTGACCTGCCATTAGTGTTTTAAAGATGACCATAGACACTCTGTGTTCCCGCCGCTCCACAGGTAACTCCCATGGGGTGCGATGTGGTCGAGCTTCCACTTTTACTGTGTACTGCAGGCTGGGAGTTAGGTTTGAGAGGCACAGTGAGTAGCAGCCAGCCTTTACCAGTTCATATTCCTCCCCATTCAAGGACACTATGTGCACGTAGTTGCTGTTGCTGGGCAGCCAACTCAAGTTGGCTGTGGTGGCAGTCACTCTGTCGATATTCAGCTGAGTCGGAGCGACACTCACATCCCGACCCACCAGGAGGCTGCATCGAAGCTGATCAGAGGGGCCCTTCTCAGTCAGGCTTTGCACTGACACACGGTAGGTCTTTAGGTTTATATCCAAACGCTCCAGCACTGCTTTGTTCTGGGAACCAAAGGGAACACTGAACCGCAACTCCTGGTCCACATACACATTATAGCTCAAGACGTTACCCCAACCGGCTGGCACCAGCGGAGGGTCCCAGCCAATAATTATGCTCTTGGCAAGCTGTTTGATGAGGGTGAGCTTTCGAGGGTAAGGCACAATATCCACTCCCACCTCCTCTAAGTCCAAGTCCAGACCATTTGTTAGAGGGGCTGGGACAGTCAAGGCCGATGCTGAATCTACAGGAATGTAGGCAGGAACAGAAGCAGTGGACAGCTCTGTCCTCTGGGAGGCGCTTACTCCAGTATGGAGGTTATGCTGGTGGCTGGCACTGTGCAGATTGCTGTCAAGCAGGGAGTTATGGGTAATATCCACAGTCTCTGGATGATGAGAACCAAAAACTTCATCATCTGAAACACGTTCCACAAAGTTCGAGGGGACCAGCCCTCTTCGGCCATCCATAAGTTCTCCTGAAAACAAACCAAAATCACCTGTTACGAAACAGTCACAAAGAAAAGCTGCATGTGTTTAGGCTACCTTCATAAAAGCCGTCTTCATCCATGTCTCCATACATATAAATATATTCTCCTGCTGTAAGTGGAAGCTCCACTTCAGGGTTATCATTGGGCCCATCATAAGGATTGTAGCTGTCAAACAAAATACGGCTAAATTAACTATTACTGCATTACACTAGTTGCATTGTCTTTAGTTAAGAAACATTTTGAGTAAATTCACAAACCTGTAACGGGCAATAAAAACTTGGAGTTTAGATGCTCTCCTGTGGACATGGTCAGGTCCTGAGGCAACATCAATGTCCAACTCCTCAACCTCACTGGCAGTATCCACCTGAAATGGATAATGTAAAATATAAAGTAGAAAATTAGCACTTAAGTGGGGAAATTCCTTAATTAATAGCTTGCAGGCACATACAACATGATAACTCTCTGGTGTCTGCCAAATACATAATAAAGATTTAATAACATTTACGATCACCGTCTCCCATCACTGTTTGTGATCTGTTGTACAATCTAATAAATACAGCCACATTTTATGTGCCCAGGGTCGTCCTCGTCACAAATATTAATTTTGCTATAAGTAAATAACATTTTATAGCACAAACGTTAAACAAGTACAACATTACAGTGAATAATAAAATACTCATTAGTTACCACAAAACAACTAGGAATCATGAAAACCTGCAAGATACATAATGAGAACTTGGATGGGCGACTGAGGCCCTGTACCTCATGTGCAGAGCTTGACTTGTGAGGGCTGAGGTGTCTGTCAGACTTTGGCGTGAGGCGTGCTGCTTCAGACTTGCAGGAGGAAGAGGGCGACTTGCTGACACTGATGGTGGGCAGCTCTCTGTGCTTTGTGACCGGAGAACGCTCAACCCTCGATAATCCTGCAGCATGTGGTGTGAGCCCAATGCGAAGTGCGGCCGCCACATCTACAAACAAATGCAGTAAATAAGAACCAAACATGATATAGATCCCAACAAAGCATTATAGCTGTGTGCAGGCAGTTATAGTAGATGGGTGGGCTTGTCATGCGGGAGGCTCAAGGTTGAACTGGACTGATTAAACAGTGGAGCAAAATCCTGTCTCCATCTGTTTAGGTTCAGAGGTCACGTTGCCTCATGGCTACCTGTGTCTCACCAGCGCGGTTAAGGGGCTTAACCACAGAAACTCCTCACCTCACCCTCTGATCTTTATGTAAATGACGAGAATGCTCTGTAACGATGTGCTGGATATGAGGACATGCAGTGGATTTATGGCTTAACCAACGCTAACAATAGGCATAAAAGTATCAAGAAAATCATTTGCCTCAGGGTCAGCCCCTTCAAGGCTCCAGAAGGCTATTTCTCCTAAAGAGACCATGTCAACTGAGCCCCTGCAGTCTAAAACACACCAACACAGCAGAGATGTAATTAAAGTAGAATAATCGCATTCAAAGAGTTAATCCCTATACAAAACCATTCTACATTTATTCTATGCCCAAAACACATGACATTTATGTGATTATTCAAGATGATTTACGGCAAGTTCTCTATGGTTCTATATTGAAAATAGTATTATGAAACCCTGTATAATGACAGCAGCAGAATTATATGTGTTTACCGTGGTCAGCAGTGAGTCCCAGTCCATTGGTCAGAACAGAGAGGCTGGGGTTGTTGGGGAGAGCAGATGCAGCCAGGTCCACCATTGAAGCCTGCATTCGAAACTTTTCCAACTCCTGGGATAACAAGCCAAACTGTTCGCTCTGGCCACGACATTTCTCTTCCAGATCTCTGACTTTTGACTGTAGATAACAGCACAAACAATCAACAGAGGACAACTACTATTTAAAGCCAAATCCATCAAGAGCTAGTTTTTACCACATGTTGAACCAATGTGTTTGCTTATATGCATGTGTTAGGGGTAGTGGGACATTGACTAGTTTGTAGTCCAAGTGAAAATAACTTCACTTTTGTCTGAGTGTTTAACTTGAATGTGTTGTTAGTGCATGTCCGATTTATATTAGCAATTCCTGTTTTTTTTACTCTTTTTTTTTTAAATCAGAAATCAACGACAAATGTAAGTCAAATGTATACTTTTCTAACAATAATTCACGTTTACACAGGGATCAGGTTATAGAAGATAAGCACAAATTGGGACAACTGAGCCAAGCAGTCAACAATACCTGCATGCAGTCCAGTGTACTCTGATTAGTGGCAACAACACAAAAGAATAGAAAGACAGACATGGTTTGAAAAAAAGAAAATGATATACTGTATTTAACCATGAGAACACAGAAAAAAACCTCCTGTCATAGTTAGAAAAGTAAGAGGACTTGATATTGTGATACTTTGAAATAAAGGTTGTGAGTAAAAGTGAAAAGCAAGATGAACGAAACTGGTTATAACAGCACCAGTGAATACTCTACCAGCTCTCTCTGCAACACAAGCTGAACCAAGCCCTAAAAATATACATATATATATATAAACACATGGAATTGGCTATGATGCATTAACACCTATCAGAGAAATGCACTAAATGTATCAAAAAAGCCCAAACCATAAAGCAACAAGCTTTCCCAAACTAACACAAATGTTCTTGTCAACGAATATGTTTAATGGTAAATGTTGGAAGCTAAGAGGCTGTAAAGGGGATAATGACAATATACGGTACCTCCAACATTTGAACAACTCCTTCATGTTCCCTTTTGGCAAATAATTGAGCCTGTAATTACAAAAGAATAACTTAAAATTGTTTCCAACGTAGTGATTTTCTATTCAGCATTTAGAAGGCATTTGTTATTGCTTCATAAATGTTGCCTCCTACTGGCTGAAAGAGTTTTTTTTGACACTTACTCGCTGCAAACGTTTGATTTCATCCTGTTTGAACTTAAGGATTGCCAATGCCTGCTCATGTTCCAGTTCCAGCTGCTGCCTTCGCTCTGCAACCTCTCGCATATGCTGTTGATTATAGTTCATTTGTATATGATGTTAAAATGCAGATTCTGATAACTGCGATGAAGGTTTGAGTACTGTGGTACCTTTAGGACCTGCTCTAAGTTCTCCAGTTTGGCACGGAGTTTTTGGTTCTCCTCGAGAACTGAATTGTGTTGAGCAGTCACTTGAGAAAGATCGTTCCTCAGCTCTTCATTTTCAGTCTGAGTCTAGAAGAAGATAGACATGTTTAAAGGTGGTACCTGCGCCCCATTTTTAAATATATTTCACTCAATAACGACCTTAACATAACATGTTCGTCAATCAACATGGTATGATTGTAGCACTAACCTGGTAGAGCAGCTGTGCCTTCCGTCTGAGGAGATCAGTCTCCTCTTCTAGTTTCCCATTTTTACATTGCTCCTCTTCAAGCTGGCTCTCCTGTGTCAATCAAAAAAGCAATTTAGTAAATGTGTACAAATTGCACTATAATTCATTTGACAGAATGTGGCAGTTTACCAAATATCGACATCTTCGCTGTCGTTTCTTTACTTCATGCTCGAGATTTTCACATTCTTTTCTTTTCTTACAGAGTTCACTTTCCTAAAGTAGATAGGGCATAATTAGGCATGGACTAGTTTTAAATTTGTACAATGAAAGGCATAGTGTTTGTTATCATAATGACCTATGACGTAAGAGCAATGGCGGTTTTGCAAGCTTAGCCACCTTTAATTATTGTAAATGCAGCTTACATGTAGGAGCAGCAAAAGAGAAATCAGCTTATTTTCAGGCCACGAGTATTACCAGTGAGTCTGTGAGAGTGGGGGATGCCGCACAGCACCTAATTGCTGATCAAAGTCTAGCTGGGAGCTTGGATGATATTACACTCTTGACAAAGATGACACAGCAATGCAGCCATCATAATGAAATAGCATTCTGGTGTGCCTGATTGAGCTGTTGATGAATATTGTATATAATATTAATTTAATAATGTGCAAATAATACAAACAAGTTGTTAGGCATTACAAGCTCTTTTCGCACAAAAATTATTGTGTATTTTCTGTAATGTTGCAAAACACATGTATGCAAAAAAAACATGATATGGATGACAGTGCCAACAAATTATATTTTGTTTCCAAGAGACAAGATCAAAATAATCCCAACATTATATAATCATAGGCCTTAGGCTCCACGAGTATGACTAAACGGCTACATTTTTAATTCATTTCATTTTTGTTGAATATTTTGATCTTTTTTTTTTTTTCAAACAAGTCGGAGAGATCAGACTAAGCCCAATGTAGACTTTTCCAAGGAGATAATGCACCCACACAGTTCAACCCAAAAGCCAAAGGCAAAAAAGCAAAGTGGCATTCTATTCAATGCTACTAACAGTGGGATTGTTAAAAAACCCATATTATGTAAACATCATTTCAGAATATTTAACCATGTTACAACATAGCTAATAACTCACAAACTGGCACAAATCTGCAAAAACACACCAACCCATGATCTGTCCAAATGCTACTTTTCCAATTTCAGAATGCTATGCCTTTTGGACAGAGCTGTTTTCTTCTTTAAACCAAAAGTATTGCAGATAAAATATTTTCTGTACAACTGTGTGTCTTCAATTAGACCAAAAAACATCAGAACGTAATTTCCCACTTCTATGACTTAAGGGGCGTGTTTACACATTTAATAATCTAGAATAGGCAGTTATTTTCTCCTGGGGGTCACAAAACGTTATATTGTGGAGGGCCAGGAATGTTTTCATGTGGTTATCTTCTGCTATGTTTTTGTTAACCTTTTACAATATGGGATGTTCTTTGATTGAATATGAATATTATTTTAGATGTCTTTGGTTTTCGATTCTTGCTTGAATTGAACCAAAGCTGGACTAAAAGCTAAAGAAGGCCAAATATTGTAGAAAGATAAATATTTTTGATGATTTGTTATGAGCCATAACATGTCATTGTCGCATTCATGAAGTTGCAATTATTAATTGGGTGTTGATCTCATTCAATTAACTGAGGAGACAGTTTTGGATGGGAAAAGGTTGAGGGCCACATAGAAGTGTGAATCCGGGCGTATATAGCCCCCGGGCCGCACTTTTCCCAGGTCTGCTCTGGATGAATGGAAGAGCATCTTCAAATGAAAAACATTATTGTTCTGAAGATTATCCTAAAACTATTAAAAAAGAGCGGAGGTTGGTAAATCTACAACAATTGAAATACAACCAAATAAAAGAGGTTAAGGACAAATGTCATTTCAGATCTGTTCATTTTCAACAATATTTTCTACATCTACACACAATTGAATCGCTACATTAAAGCAAAGTACTGAGTTATTTAATCAAATAATTTACTGTTTCATGTTATCTCCAAGTTTACTTTGCATCTGTTTATGTTACTCTACAATGTCAGCTTTTGTTACTCTAGTTTATTGTATATAAATAAATATAGAATCTTTTACATAGGATATGTTTGTTGTGGTCAGACGTGAAAGTTATTGTCTCTGCAGATCACCAAACGCACTGAAGCTGGCAGAGAGGCAATCCTTGTGGTTCTTCAATTGTGATTTACAGTTTTAGGATTACACGTTTTATATTAGGGTTGCACGATCCAGCTTTTAATGTTATATTGATACCGATACTTAGGCTACTGTCACATTAACCATTACCAGTAACAGGGTTTTTTCCATTAAAAGCACTAACTTCTCACAAAATGGTCCAATTGTTTTATTGAAGGTATTAATATAGCAAGTAACTACAGCTTTGTTTGAGGAAAGTGTAAACTTTATGACGTTATTGGTTAAGACCAGAAAGTAAATAATCTTGAGCAGCGCAATTAGGGATATCTCTTTACCCAATATTAACAAACCAATATCCAATACCCAATCCAATAAAATATAATCATTTCCAATACCAGTATTGTATTGACATATCCCCAGTTTATAATGACATTGACACGAATACATTGTTGCTTAGATCTGTACAGTGCACCCATATGGGCTCCAGAGGGGGGCGTGATTATGCACATAGTGTCATTCAGGGTTTTAATTCAGGGGTTCTCAAACTTTTTAGGCCGAGACCAAATAAAAAGACATTAAACTAAGCGTCAAAACATGACAAATTATTTAATTGTAATGTTTTTTTGAGTAATTTATCATGCCATTTGATCTAATATCCCTTAAAATTATTTTTGCATCATGAAGATTGTTAAAATATAACTTACATATCCTGCAAATCATCGCTTAGCCCCCAACTAATGCCCCAAACACCACTTTAGGAACCACTGCAATAAATGTACGTTCTGTTGCAAAATATAAAGCTGTGATTAATGTGGGTCTATATTTATATCTTTGTAAAGTTAATCAATTTTTACTTTTTTCCAATTAAGAGGCTAATATAAATTAGAACAACTCCAATAAATGTAACCTACCAGAAAATCTAGGTGGTCCTCAGGCTGCTCCTCCTTTAGGGAGGGGGTCGGGCTGAGGCCCGGGACGGGCGTCAGATGCTGTCCCAACTCCTCCTCCTCTCCGGGGATTTTCTCATTTCCTGACAGAATTTCATCAAATGACACAAAAGACGCTTCACCAACTACCTGAGGCCGACAAAAGATAACACAAAGGAAAGAGTGGTCAATCTTAACAAATAAACAATAAAGAAAAGAAATAGTATTGACAGTTATATTAAAGTTATATATATATATATATATATATATATATATGGTGGTGGGCAAGCTGGTGAGGGTTAAGAGTCGGGAATCAGCTTCTAATTTTAGAGCAAGCCTACTTATGCTCAGAGTAGAAGTGTGCTAGTGAAGCCAAGGCCGTGACCCAAGAACAGGATCAGAGAACATGGAATCTCTGCTACACTCTTCATTCCTTACACCAAATAATTAACATTCTTCACAAATATATTACATTGCTCATGCACAATTGACACTACATCAAAACATCCAAAATCAATCATGGATTAAGCCAATAGAAACGGCTTTACCAATGTCAAGTAAACTGTGTACACTGCAGTACACAGACTGTTCCGTTTGTTAATGGGAATTATAGCTAATTTATTTTATAGGTATTCATAAATATGTCACAAACAAAAACGTTTATGACACAGATCACTGGCATGATGAGAATAATAGTAGATCATTGACTAAACGTTGACTGCCCTGATACAGTAACTGTGAGGCCCAGTGAACTGCTGAAAAATGGCTCACTGAAGTTAAGCAAGGCCTTAAGCATGGGGGAGGTCCGATAATGTTAGCAGTGGCCAGAGGAGGCAGTACATTCTTTGGCCTTAGTTTGAGACCAAATGACGCATAAAAATCAAAAATGTTTAAAAACCTAATATTGCAAAAAACAATGTATGTTTTCACTATGGGGCTCACACAAGGATGCCACTTTCAGTTGTGAAATCCAATAGGTTAAAATTTGGATGGTAGTTAAGATTTATTTGCTCAACAGTGGGGAAATGTCAGTGTTGCATCTAGTTACAAAACTCTAGAAATGAGGAATAGAATCTTTAGCTTAATAAAGAAGTATAAAGATACAGTAAATCTGTGATACAGATCGAGTGCAAGAATATTAGGGTAATAAGTTGTTAGCTCTGAGGGTTCAGATGTTCACAGTGGAGAATGTCAAGAGCAGGTGAAACTGTTCATGTTAGCACAATTAGGTTAAGGACTAAAAGTGAAACATTATATTTCAAAAACATTCTTTAAAAAAAAAAAAATGTCCAAAAAAGCCAGCCCCTCATTTCTTTCTAATAAAAAATCCACATGATTTTATCTTTGTTACATCATCCAGCTCTCTTCATCTATTCATAGGAGCATAGGTGAGGTATATCTGTTCCGTGTGAGACCATAAAAGAGCAATCCTTCGGAAGGCTGCGTTTCAGTCAAATATAATCAGGTTTAAGCATGGAGTGATATAATTTTGACATGGTTTGGCGGTGGAACAGACAGGGAACATTACATAATAACTCATTTATACAATGCAATGGGGACAAAAAGAGCTCCCATAGACAGAATTTGACTGAGTTTAGGCCAGGTGTTTGTGCTAACACACTAACCTATTCAAGTGAAGTAGTCATGAAAAAATGAACCAAACAAATGCAAACACATTCTTGGCATATTACTTTTGGGGCATACGGGGAAAACTACTTCAGTTCTTCAATACCAACCAACCATATATTTTCATCCCCTTTATCAATGGCTGAGGCTGGGTCACAGAAGCAGTTGTCTGAATGCAGCAACTGTAAATTGCGTTGGTTTATAGCTTCATTATCACTGTTCGGTATTCTAATACTAGTAGGACATTAACATTTTGGCTATGTACTGGTAGCATTAAACAATTAACCCAGTTCTACATCTAGCTGTCTTGCTTGGAGAATAATTGAGCTAACAGTTATAGCAAAGACGATTTTTTTCAAGCATTTAGCGGTTAATATTTAGTATATTGTCATGACATTTCAGATTCAGATTCATTTATTTGCCATTTGCAGTAAAACCACATTGGAAAAACTGGAACTTGAATAAGCACTTGTCTGCAGCCTACTTCTGTTTTGCACTATTAAGTTAGGTATGTATCTACTATTTAGTATTAAGAAAGATGGTGCCACTGTTATGATAGTAAATAATACATCCCAGTGACCTCTAGTTCTATGTAACTTGTGTCACAATCCATGCATTAGTGTGGTTAAACAGTTAGATATGATACAGCATGAAGACGTTAAAGAGGTATGTAGATATAGAGGGATAGAGACTGACGATCCATGTTTCCTTCTATGATGTAAGTGTACACAACCTGGGCACATGCATACTAAAGCAGGGTCAGATCCCATTCAGCAGGCCCTGAATGCCGTAAGCACATTGGTGTAATCCCTACAGACTACTGAAACGGGTAACTGGATCACTTCTTTTAAAAGCACCTTAATGGATTGGCCTGCCCGTTGATTTTCTTTTTAATACAGAGCATATCGATGCCCACGGATAAAAAGCTTAACTACCACTGACATTGAATCACTTTGTCCCCCGTCTGCAAATTGTAAAATATTTAAGAAAACAGACTATTCTATAATGAGATACAGCTTACTGTCCTTGTGCATGAATATACACGTAAGATTTGAGGTAACATACACAATTAGATTAGATTAAATTACTACTACTGCTACTACTTAAATGCCACAACGTACATCAGTTGAGTCTCAACTTTGGGTGTGCACAGGATCACTTCCACAGCCAAGCCAAAGACGACAACAGCTGACTATGGCTCTCACACACACACACACACGCACATACAAATATTGCGACCTACCCCTCGGATGTGATCTGCACAAGCCTTCTCCCTGCTTCTTACTGCTCGTTATTAAACGCAGAAGGACATAGAAAGTATATAGTGCAAATGAAGTCTCACCTACCACCCGAAACCCTCTCACTGCAGCTACAGCAACAGAGAGAGGATTACTGGACCGTACCATTCTGTTGTTTGAGGGGATTAGAGTTCACACAACATGGCCCCCTTCTGGGTGTGCAGTACACACACTGACAGCGTGTCCCACAAATGGAAGAATCAGTTCCGTTTCTATTGTTTTATCTGAGCTGTTTACCATACACACGCACACACACACATATATATCTTGAAACAGTTTATATATATTAATGTATAAGATAACTTTACCCTCTTTTCCTTGTCTCCTTTCTCAGAACCCCCACACTGGATTGCGGTGTCAGGTATAATGTCGCTCTGTGGTTGTGTGAATGACGTGATCGACAGTTGTCTTTGCAATCGCAGCACCTCCTTCTGGGATTCCTTTAGCAGCTTTTCAAATTCACCACACAATGGAGTGGACCTCTGTACAAGATACATCAACACATTTATCACACAAAAAAAGAATATTCCCACAGATACAAATAATGCAAAGTGAAGCCTGAATAACATAAATAATGTGAACAGTTCAGGTGGCTGCAATCATTTTAATACTTTGCGCTGTCATGTTGACATCAGCCATGACGCAGCTTTTGCAACGCTTATGGAGAGACCAGTACCAGAGCTGTCCAGTAGGTGGCCATCTCAAGGAAGCAGCGTGTACATACAGTGTGTGTCAGATGTTGGGAAGTAGTTCAAATTAGTTAAAAAACAGAAAAGGTCTTCGGCACTCGGAGTATGATGAAGCTTTAATAGGTGTTAATAGCCTCACAGTACTGACCAGAGTAAGACTGACCTGCCCTCTTCTTTCACTAATACATGCCATTGAGGATCTTCAAGAGCACCTGACAGTTCTACATGTTGTCATGTGAGCACTCCCAGCGTCTGAATTGCTTGTTCAACCTATTGATCAATATTAGACAGATGTGGTAGGACATTTACCATTGAGGTTCCCAGCTGTGCCTCTAGCTGGCTGCACACGTGCTGTAAAGCTGATATCTCCTTGTCTTTATTCAGCAGAGCAGCAGCATGTTGGGATAAATCCCTGGCTCTCTGGCGTGCAAAGGCCCGCTTGCACTGTTCCACTGACCCTGGCCTCATCAAGGTAGGATTCACCTGCAGAGAGTGAAAAAAACGTTTTATCCATTCTTGCTTTCTAAAACATTTCCACTTAGGAGTCTAATCCCCATGTGACATAGACATGCAGAGCATTATGCCATAGCAACCTCTTCAACAGGTGCACAATGCCGGCATGTCAAGAACAACAAAAAACATGGTTACCTGAGTAACATCTTTTGATAAGTAATATTGCAAAAAAGGAATAAGCAAATATCCATGAACAACTGTTAGCTAATGTGAAGATGATGTGAATGTGCGGTGTAAGTAGCCCTACCAATAACAGTTATTCAGAATTGTTAAATTTGAAAAACTTTACACAAATGTATAATTGTCCCACAAAGGAGAGATTCCAGTGTTACAACACAGAAGGACCTTAGATGAATAATAAGAAAAAGAAACAGTGGAAATTCAAAGTTTATGCACACCTTGTAGAAAGACATGTCATCATTTTTATATGACAACGTGTCTTTTGACAAGGTGTGTGTAAACATTTAGTGTATAGTGTGTCTTAGAAAGATACTCAAAAAGTGATGTTGAAATATATTTTAAGAACAACACTACAGAGATATTTATAGGATTCACCCATATAAAATAAAAAGTTGCACCATTGCCATCAGTTTTTGTCAGACATAGCCTAGTTTTTGCACAAGCTTGTTATAAATTCTGCAAACATAAATACTAAAACCATGCCATGTGCTTTAATTGAATTGTAGCATTTTTATTCATACCAAAAAAATAACAGCAATTATCAGCTCCACACGCTGAGGGAGGGCACAGCCCAACAGGTGCAGGGTTGGCCTGACTTGAGTTCATGTGTAAAGTGTGAAGTTAATGAGAAATATCTTCTGATGCGTCACCAGGGAAAAGGGAAGAATGAAAGTTTCCGGGATATGGATTTAGTATTAGAACAAGAATCAGGTGCTGAAATTAAGAACTCAGGTATGTAGATTGATGAATGGATTTAAAGTGCATTGAGTGTTATCCGGGGCGACAGTGGCTCAGTTGGTAGAGCATTGGCCTTTGAGCCCGAAGGTTGTGGGTTCGAGCCCACCACAAGACCCACTTCACAACTCCCACTGATGATTGCTGTCGTTGTGTCCTTGGGCAAGACACTTAACCCCACTTTGCCTGAAGCTCCCACTGAAAGATCTCAGCTCCTGTGGACTCACCACCTGCAGGAGGATCAGTGAGGGGCTGGTGCTCTGTGTACCGGGTGCAGCTCTGACTGCCACCCCCCCGACCCAGAAATGGATTAAGGGGAAGAAAATGGATGGATGGATGGATGAGTGTTATCTGTTCGAGTGAGTGCTGAAACCAACTGATAGATGGTCTGTTTAGAGAGTTAGTTTATGAAACAGCCCACTGACCACTATTGTATCAAGTAGTGAAAAAAAAACTAAAGTTGACAATACCACTCTGAGGTTGGCCTCTTGCAGTTTCCTTGCCCTGTCTTCCAGTCTTTTAGCAAGAACAGCCAATTCTGTGTTCTTTCTCCTCAGCCGCCGGACCTTCTCCTCGGTCTCCGGAGCACAAGTCTTTCGCTTTACAGAAGAAAAAAAAAGATTAAGAACCAGTATATTGAAAAAATAAAGAATCTTGTAACTTAATAATATTATAATAACAATGAAGTTCACGGTGAAAGTAATATTCTTAAGTAAATCTGTATGCAAACCAAACCATTATGCTTGAGTTTACGAAAATTCCCAGGCCTATAGTTTCTCGAACACCTCACTATTTTTAGTCTTACCAACAGCCCATTTTCCTCCCTCAGCGTCGTGCAAGTCTTCTCCAGTGCATCAAGCGCTTGTAAGAGGTCTGAGTTCTGATGAACCAAGGAGGTATAATCTGTTCCATTCTGGAATACATTAAAAAAAATATATCTTCAGGTTAAAGGTACAGTGGGGCAAAAAAGTATTTAGTCAGCCACCAATTGTATAAACCTCAACTATGAGAGACAGAATGAGACATAAAAATCCAGAAGATCACTCGTAGTTAGTCAATAACAAAAGTTCATTTCAACACTTTGTTATATACCCTTTGTTGACAATGACAGAACTGAAACATTTTCTGTCAGTCTTAACAAGGTTTTTGCACACACTATTTTGGCCCATTCCTCCATGCAGATCTCCATGATGTTTTGGGGCTGTCGCTTTCAACTCCCTCCATAGATTATCTATGAGATTGAGATCTGAAGACTGGCTAGGCCACTCCAGGACCTTGAAACGCTTCTTACAAAGCCACTCCTTCGTTTCCCGGGCATTATGTTTGGGATTATTGTCATGTTGAAGACCCAGCCATGTTTCATAATCAGTGCCCTTGCTGATTTTCATTCAAAATCTCCCAATAGTCGTCCTGGTCCCTTTGCAGAAAAACAGCCCCAAATCATGGTATGGTATGGTATGGTTTTTATTTTTACAGGGACAGTGTACAGTAAACATTAGCCAAAAGGAGAGATGCTTTGTACCAGGTTGTAGCAGCAGTGCTAATTTACACCTGTCATGATGTTTCCACCCCCATGCTTCACAGTAGGAATGGTTTTCTTTGGATGCAACTCTGCATTCTTTCTCCTCAAAACACGACGAGTTAAGTTTTTACCAAAAAGTTTTATATTGGTTTCATCGGACCATATGATTTACTCCAAATCCTCTTCTGGATCACCCAAATGCTTTCTAGCAAACTTCAGACGGGCCTGGACATGTACTGGCTTAAGCAGGCGACACGTCTGGTACTGCGGGATACAAGTCCTGGCGGTGTAGTGTGTTACTGATGGTAACCTTTGTTACTTTGGTCCCAGCTTTCTGCAGGTCATTCACTAGGTCCCCCCGCGTGGATTTTTGCTCATTAACAATCATGAAATGATCCAAGGATTATATAAATCAAAATGTTTGACTGGGAAAATGCAGTATTCTTTTTGAACATGTCATCTTATTGGACTAATATTATCTAGACCTTAAAGTTCCATATTTCAATATTGGAGATCTCATTACATCAGACCGCTGGTATTCATGTGCGTCAGCGCTATATTGTTTTGGCATAACAAAGGCAGGGTTACGAATCTATTGCCATCTTTGTAACACTAGGTATTTTCACACAGTTATAAGAAACAAACAAGTGGTAAAGACATATTCATCCATATATACCAACATACAACAGTATTTTTGTAAGGGAAATAATAGGGACAATAAGACCAAATCATAAAAATAAAATATTCAGAAACATTTAGGTTCATGGTCTGTACACTAAAGCACTGGTTAGTAAACACACATTTTCCGAGCACATTAAAAGTAGCAAACGGACAAAAGGTGCAACTATAACTATCCGCTATTAGTCCTATAAAAAATATATATCTTTTGCCTATAAAAATGGCAAAAGATCCTTGGCAAAAACATAGGTTGTTGCATAGAAAATGAAGTAACGTAAAAACCAAATGTATTTGGTGCTTAAGACTAAAAATAAAATATTTTGTATTGAAGAGTCTGTGGGTACAGTGCTGGCTGCAGAATGTTATATTTTTATGGCTCAAAATAAAGTATTAAAATTCAAGAAACCATATCTTGCGAGTTTTATATTTTAGCCAAAATGTTATAATGCTGTATAATCGCTGTGTTATTAGTCATAGTGCCAAATTATTCTGAAGAAAATATTGGTCAGGATGACTAATCTAGTCCACCACCAATCTTACATGGCACAGTGGTTTGACACTTTACCACTGTGACACCTGGTGTTCCCAGAGGTCTCCCATTACAGTACTAACCAGGACCCGGTCCTGCTTAGCGTCAGAGAGGGAAAAGGCTTTTCATATGCAAGGGGCGTCACGATAGACACAATTTCTCGATATATATAGTGTGCAGGTACTATAGTAGTTGCTTTGAATTTCGATAAAATGCATAAGTAAAGGATGCACACCATTGTGCCATGCACAAGCCAACTCTGATGGTTTACCTTGATCTGTCAGAGATATGCACAGACAGACTCAGATGCATTTATTTCAAAGACATAAATAAAAATGAACACATAAATCAGACGCAAATCAATAATTTATGGGAGATAAATGGCTCACTAAGCAGCTGACACATAAATAAAATTACCTAAGAAGAATTAGGCAGGCAACCATTGTAGAAAGAATCCCCCTTTCCACTGCCATCATTGAATCAGAACTTCTGAAACTACAGTTTCTGGAGCTGAGATGAGACCAGCAGTGAATTCATCACTTTCAATGATGAAAGATGATAACAAAGAAAATGATCATGAAAACAGCTTAAGCTTCCATAAATGCAATGTGTGTTAACTTTCTTTTCCAATGGACACAGCGCAGGGACGGGAAGACACAAATGTCTGGGTTTAAGTATATCTATAAAATGCACCACAAAGTATTAATAATTAAAGTGGCACAACAATGTGGCATGTAAACCGAGACATGTGCATGTGTTGCCCCAAACAGACACAGTGGCTTGAACATGAGCACATTTGGTCATGTCTTTTGGGGTATAACTCTATATGTGTTTTAACCAGCAGTGTTAAAGTTTCCACAGATTTTCAATTGGATTTAGGTCTGAACTTTGACTTTGTAATTCTCACACATGTTCCCTGCTACTAAAACCACCATATTTGACACTGAGAATGGGATGTTGTGGGTAATGGGTAGAATTAGTTCCGTGGTATACACAACATTTTTAATTAAAAGTGTAATTGTGGTCTGGATATAATCCATATCCACATTGTGGGATAGGGAATCTTTACTTATCTGAAGAAAAAAAACATGTAAAAGGGGATATGGGATCAACTGTAAGCATTTGCTGATTTAATTTAATTTAATAAAACGTTAAAGAGCCTTTTAAAGGGTTAAACCCAAATTTCCCAGAAAAGTACAAATACAAATATTTTGTTTAATAATACATGAACACAGAATCGCATCACAAAATGAATTGTATCTCAAGACTTGTATTACCTTTCTCATGGCTTCTGTTTCAAAAGCATTGAGACTGGTGTAGAGTGAGTGGTGTCTTTTCCCCAGCATGGATGTAGATGGTGTTTGCTTGTCTTCAGTGTGATGTTCACTCCCGCTCCCACATGAACTCATCACATTCTGTTCAAGTTTCAAAGCGGTCTCTTCTTCACAACCATCCATTTTTTTCCTGTACCACCTCAAGCTCCAGTTGATCAGGTACAGTCATACTATGCTGCTTCAAGGATCAAACATCAGGGATGACAAACTCACAGAGGAACCAGGTATGGACCAAGCCATTGTCACAATTGGTCACAGAACCGCTGTGTTAAAAAACTTCCTGAGCAATTCCTCTTCATATCCACACAAAATTATTTCCTTAAATTGGCAAGGTGAATAGTCCACCATGTAATAGCTATTATGTTTTATCTCTAAAACAAGATTAAGACAAATTTAGGGCGACGAACAGCTCAAAGGGGATGCTACGTTTTCCCGTCTTCAGCAAAGCAACAGAACCTTTGTCATTATTCCATAAGCCTGCTTCAGCATCCTCTGTTAAGTTCCAAACAGTTTCTTAATAGTACAACTCCAAGACGACATGGTAAATTGCTCTTTGCAGACAATCCGATGACAAATGGTTTCCTATAAGCTTTCGTCAAGATTCTTTCTGCGAGGATAAAAAGTAAAGGCCCTGGTGAAAAGCCAAACAAGAGGAGGTGTGCTTGGTAAAAGGGAAAATGAACCGTCTCTCGCAGTCCGTGGGTGGCAAGTCAAGTCCTTGGCTCTAGAGCTTGGCTTTTCAATGTTCCTAAAAAAGAGGAAAATCTAGTGCTCCAGAGTACGTTCATAATGTTGTTCCATGGAGCTTCCCGAGGTATAAAAGGTGGAAAAACAGAGCAAATAGGGAAAGTGTGTCTGCAAGATGGTGCGTGTTGTTGCAGAAAAGGAGGGGGGCAGGGAGGACCATTTCCGCTGCCCTATCACAAAAAGGCAGCCTGTGGGCTAACACCCAATCATTGCTGCCACTAGAGCTCGTTTCCATGGAGATGACGCTGGAATGATGAAGGCTCCCTATTGATTGTTTAAGAGGCGGCCCACAGTGCAATACTGAGAGGCTGCACGAGGCAGACAGAGAGGAAAGGGTATTTAGGTTCAGTCTTGTGTTTTTATAGCCACGAGAGAAACAACTTATAACTATCACACTTTGCACTCTTTTTTTTTCTCATTTTTTACTCAATCATTTTTTTCATTCTACTGCCTCTTGCATTTTTATTACCACTTAATATAAATTGTCTAGTCAGATTGTCTTTACTGTCCTTGTTTGTGTGCAATATAATCTATAGCAGATGTTTTCAATATAGTCTGTGTTCTATTTTGCACATATTTTAAAGAGGGTAAAAACGCTAAACAAAAACTACAAAAAAAACATATAAAAGAAATCATTCTGGACATGTTGGCAGGCAACTTTTCCTCTCCTTGACTTCTCTAAATATGTTTTATTATTGTATATTTTAACACTTTTAACTAGAATTTTGCAAATATGTTTTGGCAAATTATATTAAATGGTCTCCTAGTAAGTCTTTACAGTAATTGATTATATTTATTAATATTGATAAAACTTGATTAGTTGTGATTAAGTGAATAATTGTTACAGCCCTTTACAATAGCATTATGGTTTGACACATAGCTTCATCACAGTAAAACTATATTTATTGATACATAGAGGTTTTCAATAAACAAAGTACATTTACAAGACGTGTTGACAAAAGAGAAAACAAGCCACTCACCTCCATGTTCGTTTCTGCACACTGGGAGGTTAATGACCCGTCTGACCTGGAGAGTTCAGTCTGGTATAAAGCTGGGTTCTTCCAGTCGACATGGGGAGTATTGCGTTGGTGTTGTTTCAGTGAGCTGCATGGACAGGTGCCTCTCTCTGTAGGGGTGCTGCTGGAGCCATCTGTACACATCGGCCACCCCAGAGATGGATACTGCTGTCTCTGCTGCCTCCTCTTCTCAATTGTTTTGAAGTAAAGTTCTGTGGTTTTCACTGAAGTCTTGGAGAAAGTTAACTCTCTTTTTGTTTGGTCCACGTCTTGAGTCTTTGTAAAACTTTGCTTAGTTACTTTACCAGCAATAGGTTGACCTTGCCATGGAAGGAACAATTTGTCATGAGTTTTTAGCAAGTGGTTGAGAAGCAGTGCCTTCTCTAAATATAATTCCTGCCAGTGATGCACGTGATACTCATCAGTCTTCTTTACCGTTTCATATGTGTTCAGCCGTTTTTCTAATCCTCTAAATGCTATACCTCTATTCTGCCAAGTCTCTATAGAATTCTGCTTATTTTTTGGTCTGCAGTTAGAGACAGGCTTTTCTAATTGATGCACACGTCCAGACTTCAACTCTAATAGGGCTGTGTGCAGATTATTTTCTGCTTCTTCACGCAGGTGCTGAAGCTCCGCTCTGAGCTGCCTGTGAACCTTCTGTGAGACCTCAGGTTTCATGTGAGTGTGAGGCCTTCTCAATTCTGCTCCATATTCTGTGTCTTCCTGGTATGGATCCATACAAGACAGCAGTTCAGGGCAAACTCTTTCTTTCATCATAATGCTGGCATGCATCATGCACAAGAAGAAAAGGTAAAGTGCTGGAGATGGAGGGTGTAGAAGTCGAGGAGATACATGCAGCATGCAGCCAGGGGTCTTGGTTACTGAAAGTGTGAGATTAGAAAACAGTGAGATGGGACCATAGATCTATAATGGAAATTGGAAGTTCTAGAAATAAACAAACGTGCAAGTCAAAGTGTGAATGGATTATTACTACAAAATACATGTCAAAATGTGGGCACTCGACAGTCTGAGATACATTGAGGATGATGCATCTTATACAGCCATCTTTCTCGTATGGATGCAACAGGTCGGACACCAAACACCAGAACATGTGTGGGTATAGACTGCCCTACTGCCCAAAAAATGCTATGGCTTCGTTTAAAGAATAAGTAACTAATACTTATCGAATGTAGTATTAAGAGTAAAAGACTATCTCGTTGAACAAACTTAAGCTCATAGTTAGTTAGTAAGAACATAGAGTAATAATTAGCTATTATGATAGGTTGACCAATTAGCAAAAGCTAGCTTACCTCGCAGGTTTTCTGTAAAGTATCAAAGTCACCAAATATTAATATCCCGAACAGGTGGTCACTGCAATATAACACAGCTTCCTGTTCCTGAAACATTTAGATAATGTCCACGCATTGTAATGGTGTCAGTTGCTGTTTGTTTATGTCGTCTGTCACGGTCACGCTGCTGTGTCCTGGACCGTCCAGGCTTTAGTCCGGTCCAGGGTTTTGTGGCGCCTTCACGTGACTTCGGACATAACGCGACTGAAGAATCTGACCCCACACACACATTTAATCAAACTGTGTGTCACTTATTAGCATAAGCCTAACCCTAACCCTTATCATGGATTTCAACCTTGACGTGACATATTTGAGGGTAATTAACATTCAAAATATGTTATGTTTTCGTTCCGATCCGTTCCGAATGAATGGGATGAAAATCATCATTCTTAATTTCTTTCAATACATAACACCTTGATTCATATTTCGGTCAGACAGGTACAGTTAGATCTAACATTTCCCCCTCCGGCAGAAAGCATTATTCCATGGACAGTAAACCCAACACGCATTTTATTCATACTGGATAGCGACTACCAGTGGCCTCATTCTGTAAGTACTGAAGGATGCTGGAAAAGAGTGAAAACGACCTAATGAAAATGCTTTGTGAATTGGTGATTTCCCGCTCAACTATCTCGACGAAACATCGGGTAAGCACATAAGCAATGTACCATTCTAAAGCGTACTTAACTTTTAAACCACAATATATGAACTCATATGTACAAAGTCCATCTAACTTTGTCTTGGCTCTCAAAACAGTCTGATTCTATATATTTTTTTGCCTCTGCCACATCTTTAAATCTGCTTTTTCAGACAGAAAATTGGCAAAGAGAGAAGTGTCAAATAGTGACTTACAAATTATACACAATTTTTTGTTTTCACTTTTTTTTTAATAAAATGGGGACACAGCTATTGTGGTCATTTGACTTTTAGCAGACTTTCTGTTGAGACAAACAACATGTATTTTTTATTGAAAAATAAAATGATAATTGCAGCAATAATCTCTTTTTCCCGACTTTTAGGAAAGAACCACCCTCTTCAGAGGGAGCGTCTATTTAAAACCTTTCTCACATAGACTGTATATATTAATCACCAGAATAAGGAGGACCGATAGTCAGATGATCCACCCGGAAGGAGAAAATCCTTCCTTATACATGGACAGTTCAAAAGATGTTGTTAGAGCCTCAAGTCTGTTCAATTAACAGATGGCTCAAGAAATCAAGATATCTGGCGTAATAATTTAGTACCCCCAACATCGATATTACTTTTAGTAATCATTTATTTAGTTGCAGCCCTATGGAACATTGTCAAACTAAACCTATAGCTGCTTTCACCTCCTCAGACACAGACCCAGTCTCACTTGTCAGCATGACCCACTTAAACTAATTGTAGTTCACAAAGGTAGTTTTACTATTATTTGTATGATATTCTTGTAGCTGAAGAGTATAGGATTACATTATAGGGTGGCTATATATCACATTTACATATGCAGTTTACTGCAAGCTTTTGCTATGAAAGTCACAAGTTTGAAAAATAGTTCTATTGCATTTCACTTTCCTCATTGTACCTAAATGATTCTACCGGGAATGAGAAATTGAGCTTCCTTGAGACTTGTTTGTCCTTGCTAGCTTTTATTTTGATGTTAGGGTTAGGATTACTTCCTTTCATGCATTGTCCCATCATTGTCTGTATGAGTAGGCCAGGCAGTACTTGCTCTTATCAGATTGTAATGGGTCATTAGCAGTTCACTCTTTTCCTGTTTGAGTGTTGGGAATTGGATGGGAAATAGATTTGATAATGCAGTTCTTTGGAATTTATACAAAATCAGATTCTCATTGATACAAAAACTAGTATTGAACCTAGATGCTAATAAAGTATCTAAGTATAGATCATTTTAAAAATACATATATATTTTAGATTATAAAAATATATATATATATATATATATATATATATATATATATATATATATATATATATATATATATATATATATATATATATATATATATATATATATATATATATATATATATATATATATAGGGAAGGCCTACATGGAACGCCATAACCAAGTGGCTGGCATAGTGTACAGAAACATCTGTGCAGAGTATGGGCTGGAAACTCCAAGGTCTAAGTGGGAAACTCCTCCAAAGGTGGTGGAGAATGAGCGTGCGAAGATCCTGTGGGACTTCCAGATACAGACCGACCGAATGGTAATGGCAAACCAACCTGACATCGTGGTGGTAGACAAAGGGCAGAGGACAGCCGTGGTGGTGGACGTGGCAATTCCAAGCGATGGTAACATCCGGAAAAAAGAACATGAAAAGCTTGAGAAATACCAAGGTCTCAGAGAGGAGCTGGAGAGGGCCTGGAGGGTAAAGGTGACAGTAGTGCCCGTGGTGATCGGTGCACTCGGGGCAGTGACCCCGAAGCTAGATGAGTGGTTACAGCGTATCCCTGGAACAACCTCGGACATCTCGGTCCAGAAATGTGCAGTGCTAGGAACAGCAAAGATACTGCGCAGAACCCTCAAGCTCCCAGGCCTCTGGGAGAGGACCCGAGCTTAGAGAAGGATAACCGCCCGTGGAGGGCCAAAGGTGAGTGGACAATTTTTTTTTTTATATATATATGAATTATAATTTTAAAGTGTGACACATGTTTGGATAAATTGTATAAAGCTTGTGGCTCCAATTAATATTTTGAGTAAATTTGGTATTGAGAATGGAGTATTTTTTATAGAATCAGTTAGAATTTGAAATGTAGTTCTGTGACAACACTGTATATATTAAAACATAAAGTATATCCATCCATTTTCTTCCATTTCTTCATTCTTACAAAAAACAAAATTCTTCAGTTTTTTTGTGCTTTCTGGATGCGTCCAAAGCTTTTGATAGGGTTAACCGTAGAAAATTATTCATAAAACTAATTAAGAAGGGGGTTTCCAAATATATTGTGAGGATCTTTGTGTTTTGGTATAGGCAACAGAGAATGCAAGTGAAATGGGGGGACAGTGTGTCTGCTCCATTTATGGTTGGCAATGGAGTAAGACAAGGGGGGTTGTGTAACCAATTATTTTTAATCTTTATCTGGACGAACTCTCTTAAAGACTTAAAGCTTGTCAAACTGGTTGTACATCTGGTAATAGTGTTTCAAATCACCTTTTGTACACTTGGTGGTCTTCAGTCCCAGCACTTCAGCAACGCAGCAATTACTTAATATCTGTTCACAGTACGGTATAGAGTTTGACCTCCTGTTTAATGCATCTAAATATATGGTCATGATTTTTAGGACAAAAGAAGACAGAAATATGAATTTTCAAGTTTTTTATTTGTCAAACACTTTCCTTACTGTCTCAAGCAAAATAAAATACCTGGGGCATATAGTTACAGAAGACCTATCTGATGATGATGACATTAAGAGAAAATGTAGTATGTTCTACGTTCAGGCAAATACTCTCGAACGCAGATTTGGATTCTGCACAGACCAGGTCAAAATAAAGCTTTTTAAGACTTGCTGTACACCCCTGTTCACCACCCATCTTTGGTCCAACTACAAAAAAGGATCTATGCAAAAGCTGCAGGTGGCTTATAATGATGCTCTCAAAGTGCTTCTCAGGATTGGACGATCGAACAGGTCTGTCAATAATATAGTTTTGTCTCTGGTTGATATCCGTTGTAGTGCGGCCTGTTATCAGTCGAGGATGTGGACACACTGGTATAGTTGTCTTTTGTCTTTTTAACTTGTATGTTCTGTCTTTTTTGTGTCAATGTTTGACCCTTGGTCCATAATAAAGGCTTCATTCATTCATTCTGTAGTCTAAGCAGAGACGCCCAGACTTCCCTATCCACACACACTTCCTCCAGCTCGTCCGGGGGGACCCCAAGGTGTTCCCAGGCCAGCTGAGAGACAGTCCCTCCAGCGAGTCCTGGGTCTTCCCCGGGGTCTCCACCCGGTGGGATGTGCCCGGAACACTGTCCAGGAGGCATCCGAAACAGATGCCCCACCTCAACTGGTTCCTCTTGATGTGGAGCTCTACTCCGAGCTCCTCCCGTGTGCCTGAGCTCCTCACCCTATCTCTAAGGGAGCACTCAGCCACTCTATAGTAAAAGCTCATTTTGACCGCTTGTATCCGCGATCTTGTTCTTTCGGTCAATACACAAAGCTCATGACCATAGGTGAGGGTGGGAACGAAGATTAACCGGTAAATTGAGAGCTTTTCCTTTTCGGCTCAGCTCCTCACTTGCCTCACTGCGCAATTAGTTATATACATAAAGTATATAAAAGTTACTAGTTATGGCATATACAGTATTGTAATACTAGAGCAGTGAAAAGAGCCAATTTAATGTGCTTTTTGCCATATACAGCTCAAAGAATCAAGGAAGACCGTTTAAGATTTTGCTCAAGGTGAAACAGCAGTCAAGTTTATTCTCATATTGCTGGATTAAACTGATGTACTGATGATTATAATAACTTTTTGAGGTGAAGGTGCTCTATCCCCAGGTGTTTTGTACCATATTGATCTATCCAGAAAAGGTATTAATCTCCCACTGATTTTTATTTTGACTTTACCTAAAGTGGCCTTTCTTATGATTTCAAAAGTATCAAAAATCATCAAAATCAATCAACATATACATCACAATTAATTTCAGAATGTATTGATACTGAAAAAACGGGTTAAAACATACATTCATGTTTATTATTTCCCTTAGGGTTAAAAGCCATCACTATAGGGTCAAAGCCATCCACAATCTCGCCCCTCCATATCTTTCTGCGCTCCGCCACATCAGCACACCTGCCCGCTCCCTCTGCTCCTCTCCTCCTTGCTCTGCTCCCCAGCTCTGGAACACCCTTCCCCCTGACTGCCATAACACTGACACTCAGCCACATTACCAAACTGCACCAAACACATCATCCGACTGAGTTAAGGTCGCTTTGAACTATTTTGGCTTTTAACTTTTGTACTTTTTGTAAGGCTTTTGTACCTTTTTTAAGGCGACTATGAGTGCCCAGAAAGACACTATATAAATAAAATGTATTATCATTATTATTTTAATGTAAAAATGACAGCTCATTGTCCAAAGAATATTGTTTTGGATTATGATTATCCTGTGGTATTGAAATTGGTATCATGTATCTATATTCTTACTAACAACTTCAGTGAAAGATTTCTTTGGATGCCAAATAATGATGCGATGTCTCTCCTGTCGTGTCCACTCCCCCTGCTCCTGCACAGAGACATGTGCACCTGGAGCACACTCTTCCCTCGGGCCAAAGCTGTGGCCAGAGCCCGCCTCACTGGGAGAGCACCTTCTCCCAGCTCTATTCTGACACTGGAGATGCAGGACTACTATTGACGGCTAAGCTTTCACCATCTTTTGTTTTCCTTTTTTGCCCCTCCTTTTTAGCCACTAAAGAGACATAAAGGGGCGTGCAAAAATTACTTTGTATTTGTCATTTTACGTAATCCGTGTCATGGAAACGGGTATTTATAATCAAGGGGGGTTGTGGAGATGAAAGACGAAAACGGCTTGGATGCTACACTTTTCTCACGCAGATATCCCATATTTTCTGGAGTTGGAGGGCTTAAGTTAAACACAGATTTTTCTACTTTGAGGATTTTATTGCCAATAGAAGATAATTACCATCAATTTGGTATGTATTTTTTCCTTCACTTGTTTTCCTATTTCAATCTTTCAATCATTAATATTCATTTTGATCGGTTATCTGTCATTGTGTTTTTATGAATCAGTTGACCAAATTATATTTACAAAAACTTTAACAAAGCACCCATAATAGTTAGCCAAAGAAAATTATATTCTTATTTCCATTCAAGCTCCAAGAGTGTAAAACGCTTATAGATGTTGTGAGCCCTTATCTTTCATTCATTTTTCACCACTGGAAAATAGAAGGGAGGGGAAGAAAATCTAACACAAAAGGCGACATTATTCCCCTGTGTATCTGTGATATATCCTACCATGAATGGGGTATTGAAAAACGTAGCATTGGGAGACAAGACATTTGTATTCAATAAATTGGCTTCACATACTGCACAGTTCAAACATGTCTCCAATGAGCCAAGGGCGCCCCACTATTGTCATCAGGACCTAAGAATTTTGGAGTATTTATTGACAGATTACAGGAAGCAGGCGTTATTACCGACGATGGCGACTACAGAAAGTAGAAATGTCTTTTTGTGTCCCATGGGCCCGGAATGCCCACTATCTCCACAGGGCAATATCAAATTCTCCTCTCATCATCCCAAATACACATTCTTGCATAAGGTCAGGGGGATTTCTGTATGAGCAAAAAGACCAAATATCAATGACAAACCTTTGACAGTCGTCCTTCAATGAGAACAAGAAAAACTGATAAACATAATCTAATTTGGGTAACTAAACATCTATGTGATTTGGGTTGGTCCCAATGTATGGTATAATGTATGTATTCTGGTTGTAATTATTGTCTGCAAGATAAATTGTCGGCCTATGAGATGAAGTTTATGTCTAGCCCAGCCATGACTTGCCTGGTTTAGAAAAGATCCTGGTTTTGATTTCCATAAATTTGTGAAGTTGCTATAATATGTAACATTACTTGTGATTGTTAAACTTAAGTCCTTTTAGCTTAATTTATGTCTGAAACGCTTGTTTCTTAAATGTTCTTAGAATTGTGCCTGCTGCTGCTCTATCGAGTTTTCTCTCCTTGCTGTCTTCTGTAATAACTTCAAGAGTAAAGTCATTTCATAACAACGTATATGTCAGGAGTCCCCAACCTTTTTTTTCCAGAGGAGAGCTACTTTTTCAGAAAGTCACAAAGAACTACTCCGTTATCTGGTTCAGAGTGCATCGAGTCAATACTGTGTAATACAGGCATGTCCTTGATTGTTGTATGGGTCTCTAACTGTAAACAATATATTATACATTATTTGTAACAGTTGTGGTGGACAAATTAGAAAGGCTTACTGCCTGCGTGAAGGACCTAAAGTAGTGGATTCCCTGAAAGTACCTGATCCTAAACCCAGAAAAAGTAATCTTACCAGGGTCAAACATCTGAGCGACTCTGTCATAATAATCACACTCGATACCGCAGCAATACTGTAACGAATCTGAAGTAACTCTCCTTCAGAGCACATATAACCAAAGCAAGTAATAAACAATTATTTGCATTTGTGCAACATAATGAAAATTAGGAATATCCTTCATAAAAGTGATGCAGAAAAAAAGATTAATGCATTCGTCACCTCAAGGCTTGACTGCTATAACGCCCTGTTGGCAGAATGCAATACATCCTCTATAAGAAGCTTCCAGCTCATCCAAAATACAGAAGCAAGGATCGTAACAGACACCAGAAAGTGGGAACATGTAACTCCTACCTCCAAAGACACATCCATCAGCCAAACCGATCTTTATTGCAAAACGCCAGACTTCTGCTGGTTTCTCCACCAAAAATATGGTTGTTACAAGGTGGAAGCCCCCTCACTCGCTGTTATGCCAAATGCAGAACATGACCTTCATTGACATTGTATCACACATACATTTTGTTTAAGTTTTACAGTTACTTGTTTTGGACCTGTGTGTGTATGTCTATGTTTGTGTTTAATCTTTGAAACTAATAAATAAACACATTTTCAGTTCAAAACCAGTTGACAAAGAAGTGAAGGGTTGTGATGTGTATGTTCTTAGGTGAATGGTGAGTGTGTGGCTGACCATGACTGCCGGTCAGTGGCTCTCAGGTGTGTGGCTTCTGCTGACCCTGCTGTGCTCTCTTCACTCTGTCGGAGTCTGCTCAGTGCTGCGATACAGTCAAGAAGGTGAGGAGACATCGCCAAGACCACTCACTTTTCAAACAAACAGAACGTTTTCACAACATGTTATACAATATGCAACATGTAACTCAAATGATTGCACAAATTTTGATAATAAGGTTTTTTTTTTTTCTTAAAGGAAACAAGGAAATACACAAACGGGATCTGTCAAAAATGTTTCCTAGTAAGTTATTATATTAACTAATGGGTTAATATATTATATTAAGATATATATATTTATCTCGAGGGAAGTATATAAGATAAAGTTTTATAAAGTATATATGCTTTATATACTTAAAACAATTATTTTCCTCAGATTGGTTATGAGTTTGGTTAAACCTGTTGTAATCCCATAGGTATTTGTAATTGTTCAAGACACAGTTTGTTTCCGCTGAAGCAGTCAAAACATATGAAATAAGTTTTTGTGCACATTTATTAACTTAAGGTTAAAGCAAATTTGTAGTTTGTAAACTATTAGAAAATATTTGCAGATAACAAAGCATCTGATTTTGAGTTTCTTTCTGTTTAGTCTTTCCAATAGGTCTAATGCCTCCTGGTTTTCTCATTCAAAACCCAAGTAAGTATCACCTCCACAGCAATATTTTTAGATATGTTGAAACAATTTCCATGCAAGAGTTTTTAATATTTGTTGTGCCTCTTAGTAAGACTGGTGAATGGCAGCAAGAGCTGTGAAGGCCGTCTAGAGATTTTTTACAATGAGACCTGGGGCACAGTGTGTGACGACAACTGGGACATGGTGGATGCCGGGATGGTGTGTCGCCAGTTACAATGTGGAAAACCTGTGCCGTGGCTCACAGGGCCCTTTTATGGGGGCGGGACAGGTCCCATCCTGATGGATAATGTGGAATGCCAAGGACTCGAAACAGAACTGGGCCTCTGTAGTCATGCAGGATGGGGGGTTCACAATTGTAGCCATCATGAGGATGTGGGAGTCCAATGTGAAGGTAACTAATTTACCTTCACCTTCTAATTTTGCTTTGCTGCAACTGTCAAATATGTACAATTACAATTTTTGTTTTTGTGTTGCATAGAAATTACATTTGGAGGAAAGGATTTTGGAGATTTTACAACCCCATGGCCCACTATAGTTGGTAAGTTGTTTTTGTTAGTTGTTAACTGGTTCAATACCTTTATGTAGTATATAATTACGTCACACAACACTGTATTTCCTGAGACACAAGTAAGACCCAGAAAAATCTTTCAAAACTAGAGAGGTCCTTATTGTACTATGCCTTTTGTTATAAACAGATCGTTTTTTTTTTGTGTTTAATTCCCAAGAGGATCACGAAAAGGAGTCATATTTACTGTAGTGAAGGTGTGATGTATCTGGATCAACCCTCACTGTACAGTTTTCATCAGACGTACAGAGAATAACACCTTCCAGTGGCGTGTTTCAAAAAAGAGTGCCTTAGTGAGGGATGGACATATGAGAGTGTGCATTGTCCCTCTATTTGAAAGGTAAAGGCGTAATGTGACCTTGAATGTGTTTGCTCACGTATTAGATTTTGTACATAAACTCAAAACCTCAATTTTCTCATGAAATAGTAGTCATGAATACTGCTAGCCACCGCCCTCTTGCCTCACACTTTTTAGTTACCCCTTGTATTATGCAACATACTGTAAACGTATAATGATAATAAAACATAAAACAAAATAACCACATATCTGTATAGCATTTATAATATCACAAAATTTACGCAAACACACTATAATTAATACTCATGTGCACTCCCATCCATGGTCCTGCTGCATTTTATTCCCATTCCCATTTTATTACCATCAAACTCTTGTAAATTTAAAAGTTCAAAATAAAGCTGAACCCTTATTTCAAGTTAACGCTCTTAAATTAATCAGGACCTAAATAGACAGCAACAAAAAAGTTTGAGGGATTATTCATATATGTGTCAAACTTAAATAACTTTCAATACAATTTTCAAAACTTAAATTCAGGGGAATTAATAGCCATTATGCCGTATCCCCAGACGCCAGCTCTACCCTACTTTACATTTACCAAAGAAAATGTTGTCAGCAGAGACCATATCTACAGGATCTCAGCCTCACAAAGGCTCCAGACATGTCAATTAAATTTGAATGTTTAGAAATGTTTGTTGTTTTAGAGAAAAATGAAGGAGGTGTAAGGGTATAGGCAAACGTTGGTCAGCTTTTAACAAGGAAAGCATAAACATTACATTCTGGCACCTGAAATTACTGCTCTTTATAGAATTGGTTCGAACCACCTTCTGAAAACTCAGGCTTTGAAAACGAAATATGGAGCTTTTTAAACATGTGACTTAACGTGTGCTTCTTGATCAGCGCCTGAGGCATCTAATGGTGATCTTCGTCTCGTAAATGGAGCTCATAGATGCCAAGGCCGAGTGGAGATTTTCTATAACGGCGCATGGGGAACTGTGTGTGACGATGACTGGTCAATGAATAATGCCAGAGTGGTGTGCTGGCAGTTGAATTGTGGGAATGCTGTGAGTTATCACAGAGAGGCCTTCTTTGACAGAGGAACTGGTGAGATCCACCTGGATAATGTTAACTGCAATGGAAATGAGGTTGAATTACAAGGTTGTTCGCACCTGGAATGGACTATACACAATTGTGGCCATCATGAGGATGCTGGCGTGACGTGTGGTATGAAAAACTATTTTGATATTTATTAATTCATGAAAAAAAGTTTTAAATTTTTTTAAACAAATTATTTTATTCAGAACTTCCTTCAACTGTACAACCAAATGAGGATAGAACTACTTTCGCAACAGGTATTCAGCAAATGGCTGTTTCCTTCTTGTAAACCTGTACATATGTAACTGCTTCAATTCAAATGATTGTCTGCCAAAATATTATTATTTTGAGGGAAAAAAACGACATTTTAATTGTGTTTATTTTCTTTTAGCAACAGACCAAGTTACTGTGACTAACAATGCAAATACAATAACTTCACCAACAACTGCTACTTCCACCCCTGCTGTCTCTTCTCCAACTACATCCTCATCTTCTGTTATCATCTCTACATCTGCCACCAGTACTACATCTGCCAGCAGTACTGCCCCTTCTGTCGCCGATCCTACCATCACTAATACTGCCATCGCCGATACTACCACTAATACTGCCATCGCCGATACTACCATCACTAATACTGCCATCGCCGATACTACCATCACTAATACTGCCATCGCCGATACTACCATCACTAATACTGCCATCGCCGATACTACCATCACTAATACTGCCATCGCCGATACTACCATCATGGCTTCAACAATCACTAGTGCTGTAACTGCAAACCCATCGAGCTCGAGTGCATTTACGACCAACAGTGCAACCCCTAGTACCACCAATACTCCTACTACTACTACCACCTATACTCCTACTACTACTACCACCCATACTCCTACTACTACCACCAATACTCCTACTACTACCACCACCAATACTTCTACTACTACCACCACCAATACTCCTACTACTACCACCACCAATACTCCTACTACTACCACCACCAATACTCCTACTACAACCACCACCAATACTCCTACTACTACTACCACCCGTAATACTCCTACTACTACTACCACCCATACTCCTACTACTACTACCATCCATACTCCGACTACTACTACCACCAATACTCCTACTACTACCACCAATACTCCTACTACTACCACCAATACTCCTACTACTACTACCACCAATACTCCTACTACTACCACCACCAATACTTCTACTACTACCACCACCAATACTCCTACTACTACCACCACCAATACTCCTACTACTACCACCACGAATACTCCTACTACTACTACCACCAATACTCCTACTACTACCACCACCAATACTCCTACTACTACCACCACTAATGCTCCTACTACTACCACCAATACTCCTACTACTACTACCACCAATACTCCTACTACTACTACCACCAATACTCCTACTACTACCACCACCAATACTCCTACTACTACTACCACCAATACTCCTACTACTACCACCACCACCAATACTCCTACTACTACCACTACTAATGCTCCTACTACCACCGATGCTCCCATTACTACCACCATTGCTCCTACTACTACTACCACCAAAGCCCCTACTACTACTACTAATGCTCCTACTACCACCAATGCCCCTACTACTACTAATGCTCCTACTACCACCACCAATGCCCCTACTACTACTACTAATGCTCCTACTACCACCAATGTCCCTACTACTACTACTAATGCTCCTACTACCACCACTAATGCTCCTACTACTACCACCAATACACCTACTACTACCACCACCAATACTCCTACTACTACTACCACCAATACTCCTACTACTACCACCACCAATACTCCTACTACTACCACTACTAATGCTCCTACTACCACCGATGCTCCCATTACTACCACCATTGCTCCTACTACTACTACCACCAAAGCCCCTACTACTACTACTAATGCTCCTACTACCACCAATGCCCCTACTACTACTAATGCTCCTACTACCACCACCAATGCCCCTACTACTACTACTAATGCTCCTACTACCACCAATGCCCCTACTACTACTACTAATGCTCCTACTACCATCACCAATGCCCCTACTACTACTACTGATGCTCCTACTACCACCAAAGCCCCTACTACTACTACTAATGCTCCTACTACCACCACCAATGCCCCTACTACTACTACTAATGCTCCTACTACCACCAAAGCCCCTACTACTACTACTAATGCTCCTACTACCACCACCAATGCCCCTACTACTACTACTAATGCTCCTACTACCACCAAAGCCCCTACTACTACTACTAATGCTCCTACCACCACCACCAATGCCCCTACTAATACTACTAATGCTCCTACTACCAACAAAGCCCCTACTACTACTACTAATGCTCCTACCACCACCACCAATGCCCCTACTACTACTACTAATGCTCCTACTACCACCAAAGCCCCTACTACTACCATCACTGCTCCTACTACCACCAGTGCTTCCACTTCCGCCAGTGATCTTACTACATCTAATGTCCCTACCTCCTCGGGTGCTGCTACTGCAATCCCTGCCACCTACACCACTACTGGTACTTCTGCTACTGCAGGTATATCTGATGCCAACAGAATTCTTCCAGTCACAACACGCACTGTAGCTCCTGCCACCACCAAAGCTGTCCCATCTACAACTGTAGCAACCACTGCTCGAGGTATGTACTTCATTATGGTGTCTCAAATTCAACCGCAATCTAAGGCCACATGTGCTTGTCTTTTCTTTCTGCACAGGGCCAGCACCTATTCGATTGGTGAATGGTGGTCATCGCTGTGAGGGCAGACTGGAAATCTTTTTTTCCAACTCTTGGGGGACAGTGTGTGATGATGGGTGGAATATGATTAATGCTATGGTGGTGTGCAGACAGCTACAGTGTGGTAAAGCTCTAAACGCCTCAATTCGTGCTTACTTTGGTGCCGGTATTGGTCCAATCTGGTTGGACAATGTGGACTGCTTTGGGCATGAACAGGGTGTGTCTTCATGCCCACACCTGGGCGTGGGACAACATAACTGTAACCATAATGAAGATGCTGGAGTTATCTGTAAATGTAAGTAAAAGTATTATCATATACTTGATGAAACCACTTGCTGAATATATACACTACATATAATGTCTCTCTCTCTCTCATTGTAGCCAGTGACGCCTCCATACAATTTGCGGAGATTGCTCAAAACTTGGCAATGCCAGGAGTACTTATTCCTAAAAGAGAGACAACAGCTTCAACCATTCAACCTCCTTCAGGTACATCAACTTCAGCAACACCTTAACTTCTTTTTAAATTATACAATTGAAATTAACAGTTATACTTGTGGATTGAAAATCAGTAGCATTAGAAAATAAAGTGATCATGTCTAATCTCTAATTATATCTGTTCACTTGTTTGTGTTCTGAAAACTATGACGTAATTTAAGATAAATAAAAATAATTCAGCACGTATATTAGAATTATTTGTATTATGTCTAACAAAATATACAAATAAATTAGTCAGTAAAGCTATTTAAATGTGTAGAGGAATTGTGCAAATGTAAAAAAAAATGTTTTTATAGGAACACTTAGGCTTGTTGGTGGGAACCATTCCTGTGAGGGCCGGGTAGAAGTGTTCCTCCAATATGAATGGGGTACGGTTTGCGATGATGCATGGGACCTTCCGGATGCACAAGTTGTGTGCCGTCAGCTGGGCTGTGGTCAGGCTGTAGAAGCTGTGCCACAGGCCAGATTTGGGCCTGGGACTGGCACAATCCAACTGGACAATCTCAAGTGTATGGGCTCTGAGGGTTTGTTATTAAAATGCTCATACATACCATGGAACGCCCACAACTGTGATCACAGTGAAGACGCTGGTGTAGTCTGCCAGATTTTGTGATCCTATCAGAACAATTCCCCAACAGCTCTGACTCAAGATTGGTGTGCCAAACTTACCCTTTATAAATTATGTTAATAATTGCAACAAGTCAATTCTTTAAAATGATAATATTCTTTTAAGCCAAGCACTTTAGGTATACACTTACTTGTCCTTCCTCTAAAACTTGTGCATGTGATGCAGCACTGTCCTAATGTATTTGCCTGAAGAGTTTATACATAATGATGATGGACAAGACAATGCTATAGATCAAGGTATTTAATTATGTATAAGTGTTTCTTTGTTTAATGTATTTTTGTGTATATTTTGTTCAACTGTTCAAACATGTGTTCATAAAATCTTAAATGTTACCAATGTTACCGAGGATTGTATAATATATATATATAATAAATATGTGTTATTTTCTAACAAAATACATTACTGTACATGTCATATTCAATTGAACAATAATAATAATAAGTATTTGGGTTTTAAATGAAAAATTGATCCTTTCCACCACTCCTATTGTAAAAACTTGTGGAAGTTGAGAAACCTCATCATTCAATCAATTGATTTCTTTTTCCTTTTCACAAAAGAATAAAAGAAGGAAAAAGGATGAGCTGAAGAATACTCTGAGCAGTGGTTGCACTTTTTTCAATACATGCATAATGGAACGTCATAAAAAATGTAATGGATGAAATACTGGATGGAAATAGGTCATTTTCAAACCTTGCAGTTGCAATACCAGATGTGTGCTGTAATCAAAACTTATCAATATTATTAATGAACACAGAAACATGAACATGAACGCATGTGAGTAGCTTTACCAGTAAGTTATTGTATAGGAATAAAAATCATATATTTGTGGATGTCAGGGTCACCACATGTGGTTTTCTGTGAGGTAGGACAATCATTGGCCCTGACCAACCCTTTTATCTATACCTGTTATCATGAAAC